GCAAAAATAAAGGCAGATTCACTCGGTAAGGGACAGCAAGCTTGATAAATATTCCCGATAAGCTATTTTTAAAGATGTTAAGTGTATTTCAATAGTTAAAATTGCTCAGGAGAATGTATAAAGCGAAGAAAGAAGCGAGATAAGTTCACGTACCACAGACTACGCCGAAACCTTCCCACTCGCGTAGAAGGATTTCCCGCTACGGCTGGATGGGAACCACTGACATGCGCAATGACTCGTTTCTGGACAATTTTACTTCCGGTAGCCGTAGCAGCGCCAGCCGTAGCGATTTGCTTAAACCCCCTATTACTACTGCTACTGCTGCTGCTGCTACTACTGCTGCTACTACTACTACTACTACTACTACTTCTACTACTACTACTACTACTACTGCTACTGGTGCTGCTGCTGCTACTACTGCTACTGTTACAACTACTACTACTACTGCTACTGCTGCTACTGCTACTTCTGCTGCTGCTACTACTACTACTAATACTTCTACTACTTCTACTACGACTACTGCTACTGCTGCTGCTGCTACTGTTACAACTACTACTACTACTGCTACTGCTGCTGCTGCTACTACTACTGCTGCTACTACTACTACTACTACTACTACTACTGCTGCTACTACTGGTGCTGCTACAACTATTGCTACTTCTACTACTACTGCGACTACTGCTGCTGCTGCTACTACTGCTGCTGCTACAACCACTACTACTACTGCTACTGCTGCTGCTGCTACTATTGCTGCTACTACTACTACTACTACTACTACTACTACCACTTCTTCTTGTCATGCTGCTGCTGCTGCTACTACTGCTGCTGCTACAACTACTACTACTACTAGTACCACTACTACTACTGCTGCTGCTACTACTAGTACTGCTGCTACAAGCTACAACTACTACTACTACTGCTATTGCTGCTGTTGCTGCTGATACTACAGCTGCTGCTACAACTACTACTACTACCACTACTACTGCTGCTGCTGCTGCTGCTACTAATGCTGCTGCTACAACTACTACTACTACTACTACTGCTATATTGCGAGACAGATTCGTAAATAGCATAATGTAAAAAGAAATTGCTGTGATTTAGTTTTCGGTGTACTCAATCGCCTTAATTTTCGTTCCACCGGATTTTAGAGCTTCCATCTCAAGAAATTTCTGCATCGCTCGGAAGAGAAGAGGCAGTCTTCTTTTTTTTTTTACCATGTCTTCTCCAATCCGGCTTTTTCGTAGTTTCTTGAAAACGGCATTTGAAGATGAGGCGTATTTCTAGATTTTTCATTTGGTCTGATGTAGAAGATTTTAGATTTTTCCTTGGAGACACACAATTGGCATAACAGTAAAGGGGGTAAGTATCTATTAAGACTGTGATGCTGCGTCGGTGGGGGAAAGGGGAGGGTGTTACAAGAAAATTTGGTTTTTATCAAGTGAATTCCTAAATAAATGTAAATTGGCCATCGTAAAGAGTCTTATGTAACTCAGTATCTATATATTTATAACGCCCGCTAAGATTAGTTGAAGCTATACGCGGGTTGAGTAAATTGTCATATCATAATCTGTGTCCCTGGTAGTAGTAAGTAGGTAGTAGACAGATGAACATTCAAAATAGATTTACGTCATATGGTTATTTTTCGTTTTTCTGAAGAATCCAGTTTAAGAACCGTCCTTGTGAAAGTTCCTCATTCCGTGAATCATTAAAAAACTTAACAAAATCGTAGACTTAAGGAAACTTTTGAATGGTGTCCTCGCAATAAGTTCCGCTTTATCATCCTGGCACTTCAAGTAAAATAGAAAATGGAGGACAATAATTTTGAATTCTAAAAACACTCACCTGTTCGATTACCCTTTTTCGCGTTGCGAACACTGACTGGATCAGAAAGAACCACTTCAAAATCGTTCCCTGAGCGCCGTTGGATCGTTCTGTATTGCACGGAAATGACTCCTGTGCCTTCAATTCGAAGGACATTGTTCTCGAAGCTTGAATAACTGACACCATTACAGTGCAACTGACCGAAATCTTTAGTAAAACGTATCACGCTAGGGTGAAACCGATCCAATTCGGGAAGCTTGCAAGCTACGGAGTTGTCATCATTTTTGCTCTCTATTAACAATCTTTTATCGCGAATTAGAGAGGAATTAATCGGAATATTATCATTTACATGATTAAGAAGCAGTATCGTCTGATAGAGAAGCGAGATAAAGCTTATTAGGCCGACTAAAGAAGCAAATTTCTGCCAGTTAAACATTTTTGCTTTGACTTTAAGACTTAATCAGTTTACCCTTTACTTTACCCTTTCCACGTTTTGAAAATGAATTACCACCTCCTATTGCTCTCTCCTTTACCGATGGCAATTTTTGGCACATTTGAAATTTTTAGGAAAACGAAAAAACATTTCTGAATAGCTAATATATGTCGTCATGGAATTGCTGTAACAAAGGAATAAAAGAGAAGATAGTTAAACCTATATTCACTTGGTAATATAAGCTGAACACCCGGTGAATAAAATACCAGTAATAATAACCAGTTTTATATTATGCTTTTACGTGTTCTGAAATTATTTAAGTGGATTATTTTATTAAGTTGTCGAATTTGAGTGAACACATCAGTGCGCTAAAAATGCAATATTTTGATTTGACTCTTTATTGTTTTAGACAGTTTGCGAACACCTTTCGTATTTATTTTCCTTATATTTTTTAAATTGATACGGTCTTTAAAGCGGTTGCACTGATACTAAATTTTTCTTTGCTACTTAGTAACAGATCGGAGTTGATTGCATGAACATAAACATAGTTAATAGAGGGGACAAAAAAAGTTTATTTTAAGCCTTACATTAAAGTGTCGTAAAAACGACTTCTGTTTTAGTACAGAACTAATCGGGGACAAAATCCTATTAGATTTTTACTCACAGAGGCATCTTTCAGTGCAGAGACTGGTTCAGTAATAAATTTCGCTTGTCCTTGGTTTGTTCAAGCGTAGAACATGTCGCTGAGTTACCAACGTCATTTCTAAGATATTCAAGATAGTAAGCGCACTTTGATTGGTCGATAGCTTTATTTTGATGAGAGTGTGATGAAAGAGTTGCGACGTCACACTTTCTTTGTTTCGAGTCATTCTTAGAGAAAAAAAATCATCAAAGGGGAGCAGGGATGGCGCAGTGGTGAGAGCGCTCGCCTCCCACCACTGTAGCCCAGGTTCGATTCCCGGACCTGGCGGCAAATTTGGGTTGAGTTTGATGTTGATTCTTGTCCTTGCTCCGAGGGTTTTTCTTTGGGTCCTCTGGTTTTCCTCCCTCCGCAAACACCAACATTCCAAACTCCAATTCGATTTGGAGTCCAGTGTTTAAAACATGAGTCACAGGCTCGGAAGATCAGGCAACCACTTCCTACATTACCGACTTTATATAAAATGATTTTTCAATTTTTTTTTTAAACAATAGAGGAATTTTTTCGTTAACGGGAGAATTTAAGCAGTTCTGCATATCTTTGTCGAATTCTCCCATTCCCCAGGGTGTTTAGACGAGGCTTTGTAAACATGGTAAGGTCCTCTATTACTTAAATTTTTGCGTAATTTGTATGCTTTTCATCGTGTTTGTCACTGCAGAGTACTTTTGATTCCACCTAACATCGCAATAAGTAAAGAAAAGGAGCCTTCATCAAAGTTAGTAGAGGGGACTGATTAGGAAACGCAGCAAACTTCAGTCGGATAGGTTATTGCTCGATTTTATCGAGGTCACGTGACAATGATCCTGCACACATATATCCAAAATGGCGCCGTAGGCTTGTTTCGACGGTCACGTAGCGTTCAATTTTTTGGATTTTCTCCGTGATCGAGCGACATCTTACCTTAAAAATATAGCTAAAAACATTAATAAAGTCAGTGGACGTAATGCCAGGGTAAGATTGTTCAGTATTTGGCTGTGGAACGTGTAGGAGAAGTAAAGGAATTGGAATCTGGAAGCTACCGGCGCCGCGAAACGCAGAATACAAGAAGTGGCGAGAAGACTGGCTCAACGTGCTCACTAAAACTAGAGTTGTTGATGCTAACTTACGCCAACTGATAGAAAAAGACGGGGTATTTACCTGTGAGAAGCACTTTAAGCCCGAAGACATAGAGAAATGTAAGTAAACACACTGTATAGTTAGTGGGACTTAGCTTGGTAGGCTAAGCGAAGGCTCGCGACTGTATTTTGATAAGGTGTAACTATGCCTTCATTAACGACACACATGGCACTGATTTTCTACTAGTTCCACTAGAAAACCAACTAATTATCAAGAGAATAATCTTTACGTATGATGCACGATCCTCGCAGTAGAGAGCGCTATTTATGCAATAGCGAAAATCAGACCTGAAAAAAATCAGGCCTGTATGGGATTTGAACCACTGACCTCTGCGATACTAATGCAGCGCTCTGCCAATTGAGCTATCAAGCCAACTGGGAGCAGGCCGTTAAGTTGATTCGTAATAAACCGTTGATTCGTAATAGCTCAATTGGTAAAGCGCTGCACTAGTATCGCAGAGGTCAGTGGTTCGAATCCCATACAGGCCTGATATTTTTCAGGTCAGACTTTTTTCAGGTCTGATTTTCGCTATTGCATAAATAGCGCTCTCTACTGCGAGGATCGTGCATCATACGTATCTAATACCGCAGTTCAAAATATATGAACTTCATATATTCATTGTATCAGAATAATCTTTGTTATTATATATCAACTTTATTGTTTCCTGTGCCCTCCAGTTTTCTGTATTCTTTGGACATCGATGTCTTGCTGTTCAGAATGCGATCAAGGGAAAGGCTTCAGAATGTTTTGATATTTTTTAGACGCCTTGAATTCGTTTATATGATTATAATTTCCCAAGACTTCCTAAGCTACGAATTGAATGATGAATACACATCATATATCAGTTTAGAGCTTGAACTAATGGGCTTTCTTGTCAAAACTATTAAGAAAGACCTATACCATGTGTTTTGTCGAAAAGGAATTTAAATTACTGTTTACGTGTCTTGTTTAAGGGAGTTTTTTATACTTATTTTCATTTTTATGGCTTTCTTGTTGAATTCTTTTTTGTAGGTTACATTCCACACCCCTCTTAGAGGAAGTATATTTTATTTATATTATTATTATTATTATTACTATTATTTTTGTTATTATTATTTTTATAGGAGTCCTTACTTTGTTTATTCTCTCTCTAAGTTGCTTTATCTATTAGCTGTTCAGTGCAACCTAAATGGAAATTTTTAGCCCTTGAACCAACGAGGAATATCAAACAGTTGTTGGCATTAACTACCCAAACTGCTGCACAAATGCATGATAAATAGGTTTTTAAGCAAATTATTTTATTTCTCATTGGCACAGCTTATGGCTGAGTTAAATTATTTTTTATCCTTTAATTATTTGTGGTCTTTATAGAAACAGTTTTATCGAGGCCATAAGCCTAAATTATCAATGCACCATTACGCCTTTTTACGATATTAGGGCAAAGGAACGCATAAAATATGTGACATACACCTTATTCAATGGCTTGACATATAAAACGAGCGGATATTTTGCTTATGGCTCGTATTTTCCGATCCACTTAGGGCTCGAAAAAATACTAGGAAACTCGCTAGGCATTCTCGCGCTTTATATGTTGAAGCGTGGAATAAGGTGTATTGAATTTTTATTTTATTTGTTTTGTTTTGTTTTGTTTTTTTTTTTTCAACACCATAGAGTATGCCATCTATTCACGTTCGTTCCTGGAGACGTGATCGCCTCTACCCAATGAGAACCGAAAGAAGAATCACGTGATTTGTCGTCCGTATCCACGTGACCAATCACATGATCAGTGTTAATTACATGTTTGCAACAATGCATTGCGGTCAACCGCAGAATTATCTGACGTACATCAAGAGAAGTAAGATCCAACGCAAAATTTTCGTAGAAAAGAACATCGCTGCTTCCTTTCTTTTTCGCTGTTCGATGTGACTCCAGTTGTTTTTGCCCCTCTGAAAGTGACACGTTTATGTACAAATCTGCAAGTTGAAAATTCATCAGTGAGGTGAATAAATTATGCAGTGAAACGGTACAAATATTAGCCATGAGAATTTTGAGAATAACGATAGAATTAAGCAGTGGACATTCTACGAGGCGGCTCTTCTTGTTAATTGAATCCACGTCCAACTGAAATTTTAAATTTAGGTGTTTGTGGAGGGAAGAAAACTGGAGGACCTGGGGAAAACCCTCAGAGCGAGGACAAGAACCATCAAAAAACTAAATCCAGGCTACAGCGGCAAGAGGCGGGCACTGGTACCCTCACCATCGTGCCATACCCACTCTTCAACTTACTTAGGGGTGACTTGCTATCAATGAACTAAAACTCCTTACATTGAAGTCTGGCGCTCGAACGGATCAAAAGAGACCTGTCAAGTTCAAGCCCTGTCGAAGTTTCGAACCCTGTACTTTCGAATTTTCATGCATTAGTCACAAGTTGAATATGATTCAATTTAATACTATCAAGGAATGATAAAAATTTCATACAATGTATCCTTACTCTACCACATTTTTAGTTTACATAATTGCCTTTAAAAGAAAGAGACACAAGTGGGTGCCAGGTTATATCGAATGACTAGTTTTAGAAACAAATAACGAGTAAAAAACCACTAGAGTACCTGAACAACTGACGCCACATCTATCTTGTCTTTTCCCTTCTCGTGCCTTGCAGCAGAGGTTTCTAGCCTTTACAATGTTTACCTTCAGACGATAGGATGCTTTGTCGAAAAACAGCGACACGTTCACTTCTCCGGCTGGAAAATCTGGCAATACCTGTCCAGAATTAAATAGATATAAGGAGGACGAATTTGAACTTTTGATAATACCGTTTGCACTGGCTTTTACAGATTCCCGATATATGGAAGAAAAGAGAAATTGAAAAAAAAAAAATGGAAAAAGTAGTACATCTTTGGGCGCTTTGTCACCCTAGTAATCAGCTAAAAAGCCTTATGTAGTCAAAGCGTTGTGAGATTCACAACCGACTCTAGTACCCGCAAAGGAATCTTCTGCGCGAGGTCCGTGAAAACCAGTCTTGATGTTTTAAACCATTCATACAACTCCCACGAATGACCAACAGAGATTTTGTCCTCATATCACCAATACAATATCAAGCAGGCAAGTGATGAGAATAAAGAAAAAACATCAATTGGGAGATTATAAGTTGATCCAATACTAAATTCTCTCAACTAATATTATAATAGCTGTATGGCAGACAGTAAGGAAAATTACTAATGAGACCTTGGGAGTAAAAGACTTGATGAGAAGTATCATTTATTCAATTTTCGCTGTTTCTTTTTGTCTCCCTTAACGATTTCATCGGTTGTCGTAAAAACTTTAGCCCGGAAATTAGTGCATGGGTGTCCGTTTTGAGCTACAAAGGCGTATTCCAAGCTATAGTACAACCCGAAAACCTAATTGGAAAATTAGGTTGAAATTTTCAAATATTCATTTTAGGTTATGCAGGTATTTTCCTTAAGTTACCGTGTTTATATGTAACTTGTCGCTCGTAACAAGAATTCAACCTGCTCAAGGGCTGGCTGGTTTAGAAGAATAATATATTCATAATTATTCGCTTCCGTATCTTTGAGATGCGGCAAATAATTGTAACTGCCGGTCAGAGTCAGCAAACGTGCTACTCCTGTTGATTTTATTTGATGATCAAGATCTTTTTTGTTTTACGAAGCCTTTATTTGCATCGGGAAAATCGCCTTTGGCAAGTGCCACTTGGCGACGGGATGAAAATATCACTCACATCACAAATGCAAAGAGGGGCTCTTAGCAATTACATGTTGATGTTGACTTTCTTTCTGCGATTTCCTCGCAATCATTTGTGTAAAGGTCCTTGCGTAGTCCACACTGGGTAATAATCATTTTTGTTCAGTTATTTGTAGTCGGACAAGGTATAAGTCGCCAAAATCTTGATTTTTTACTTTGTCGAGAAAAGATCGTCGAGCGATACTTTATCAAAGAAAACTTGGCCGTCTAAATTTGCCCAAAGTTTGCTCGGAAGTTCTATTTCCGGAGAAATCCGTCTCGCGTTGGACTTAGTTAAGCCTCGATAGCACTTTAAATGACACTTAGGATTTAAATTTGCGAGTTACTCTTTTTTACACATTTTCGTCGTAAATAAAACTACCTGAGCTATTTACTGAGCAAATATAAGAGCTGTAGACGTGGCTTAATGCAAACAAAGTTTTGTTTTTTCGCGTATGCTATAGAATTAATTAAAAACGGTCTGACGAGCTTGCATTTAGAGAAGCTGTCTCTATGGAAAAAGAAAAGTAAGACGTCATTCCTTATCAACATAAAAAACTGCCGAAGCTTTTACATCATTTTGATTTCTTGATTCATGTCAAAATTCTATTTGAAAGAATATTCGTGTCTAAATCTCCCTTCTCCCTCCTCTCCTTAACTGAGCTTTAAGGGGCCCATATGTCTAAATGACTGCAAAGAAGTCTATTGTGCTATATTTTTCGTGTGAGAGTCATGCATTTTTATAGTGAATAATCTTGAAAGACTGATTCAAACTGTCGGTCATTCAAACTGCGACTCTCGCACGTGAAACAAAGATTTGATTTGCTGTTCTTATTTTCCCACTCTAAAATATTCCAAGCGAATCGAAATTGCGCTTATAAATTGCTTTTTTTTCTGGCACTTTGAAACAAGGAATAGCATTTGTTAAGTGCGGTAGAACTGTCTCGAAGCACAAGATTGCAAAGTGCTGTCTTTCTCTTCATAAATTCATGACTTACCACTGACTTCTTCGTTTGGTAAAGCTGGTTCCTATTTAATTTTCGCTTTCTCGGCATATTACTTGCTCAGCATAGTCAAGAGCCAAAAAACCAAACAATTATAAATAATAACACAATATAACGGCGGAGTGCCGTAAAACGAGCAAGGTACTTTCAATTCCCTTCGTAGTTGCCAAATAATTTTCCGGCTTACATTTCTGATTTTACTTTCTGGTGAACGAGCCAACTTCTTAGCATTTAAATTGTTATCGAGATGCTTTCTATTATGCAGAATTTGTATTAAAGAGATTTTTAAAAAAATTTTTTGAACAAGCGGGATAAGAAAATTTAGTCGGCTAGGTTACCTCTCCGTATCTTAAATTAGTCATATTCTTGGTCATATGGAAGAACCGTGAAATATGACGAACTCAAAACAACAACTTTTGCCTGACTTGTCAGCTGTGACGTGTTGTTCTAATCCTGCCCTGTTCTCTTTTCTTAACTACACTCACCTGGCCAACCATTACGTCCAATTCTTCATCTTCTCTTAATTTTGGTAAATAGTTGTTATTCTTCGCATCACCGCGAAACGATGAGTCGATCGATACATTCTCTGTCCTAGCTCTTGCTAAGTAAAGTCCTCTGAGAGCCTTTGCTTCACTGCGGTATTTTTGTTTTGCTTCTTTCGCCGTATCGGTCACGCCAGGTGTTAAAGACATCGGCTGAACTGCATGAACCGCCAATAGATCAGAACTCGGTGAAATGGGCAACCTTTTCTGATTTCTATGATCGCCCGTCGCTTCCATCCATTCAAACCAAGTTTCTTCATCTTCTTCGTCTTGAAATACAGACGAAGTACCTTGCTTATTTCCCATTATTCAAAGTCTCCTTCGAAAGGGTTTGTAATGTGTCTGCGTGAATGAATATGCTCGCGATATCCCTCGCTTAAGTTCAATCATTTGATTGAAATTCTTGATGTGAATAATCCCCTGCAGACGTACAACAAAGGCGAAAACTTTTGTACAAACGTGCCTGAGGTAAACAAAATCATTTGGAAGACCTCCATAAATTAAATATTCATGTTTGACTGACTTCTTTATTTTTATCCTAAGTATAATGACTTTGACAGCTCCGACGCAGAGGGAATATCATTAACATTAATCTTGGGAACATTACCATTAAATGTGCTGTTTCAGAATTTTTTTTCCCTCTTTTTAAATAAAGCATGAGAAAATCGCGAATAAAATTGTATTTTACTAGAAATCTTCTGCTGAGATGTGATTGCATAATTTTGTTTGGTTCTAAAAAGGTACAGCTGTACAAAAACAATACAGAGCGGGGATTTAATAAAGATGTTTTTTTTTTTTGCGTAATTAGAATCTTAAATTTAACAGTAAAGGGGTACAAGGCTGATAGGAAAGATTTAACCAAATGCGCATACATTTATCCAAGAGGTTTTTTTTTCACGAGGAAAAAGACTAGTGCCATTTTAAGCCTTTATTTACAACATTTGCTCAGAAGAGTTGTCCATTCTACCTTTAAAATTGATCCATCCGAATGCTTCAGGCAAATGTGTGTGTGGGACTTTCGTGGGTGTAGGATACGAAAGATGGAAAGGAAGTTACTTAGTTTTAAATGATATGATCTTTTGTTCAAATTGGAGCCACATTGAGACGGCATATGTTCAATTTTTTTCTTTCCTGAGAGAGATGACATTCGAGACAGTGTAATGTTTTCGAATTTGGCTGTCCACGTTTATACCATTTGGTTTTCTTCGCTGCACCATTTGCAACGGGTCCTTTGCGCATAATCCACTCTTTCGCCCCATATCTCGAGAGCTCTTTCGTAACAGTGTTCTCAATATTAGATCGATTCTTTGTTCGTGTCTACTCTGTGCGTTCGATCTTTCGTTCGTTCGTTCATTTACTCGTCTCTATGTTCGTTATTTCGTTCTTCCGATCTTTCCTTTGTTTACTCCTTCGTTCGTTCATGTTTTTCTTCGCTCGTCCGTTCTTTCGCTCGTTCAGTTTTCCATTCGCTCATCAGTTTTTTCGTTTGTTGACTTGTTCTTTCATTCGCCATCATTTCATCGTTTGTTGGGTTGGTATGTCGATCGTTCATTTGATCGCCCGAGCCCAGTCGTCGTCTGAGCGGTTGAAACTGATTGGCAAGATTCTTTTGATTTCAGATCAGCCAATGCATGATATCGCTTTTGAGTAAAAGAACAGTTAGGTAAGCCCCTGTGAACATTCAGTCATATTGCAAGATGGTCTTTTTTTAATTTCCGATATTGATGAGTTAGCAAATCATCAATTCCCCTTTTCTCACGACTTTTAAACGGTATTTGCTCGATGCTAAACCGAAGGGAACACGGATTCTTCGTCCGGCCAAAAACAGTTTGAGACATTTATCTATAGAGACACGCAACATAAGACATATCGCACATATATTGCTCAAGTTGTAAATCATGTCTTTTGTCCTTTCAAAACTTCTGGCGTTGAAAGGATGCAAACAACAGTCACTCACAGTGGAAATGTCAGCCGGGATCGTTGTCACGGCAACTGTAACGCCAACCGCGATCTGTATGGCTAACAAACGAATATTACACAGTGATTTTGGCTTGAGGCAGCTCATGTGGGGCAGTAAAAAAATTCTGGCGTAGATCATGAAGATCAAAGCGACCATGGAACTTGTTTGCAAACAGGAGTACAGGAAAATAATGAATCGGCAGGTTCCTACTCGTATCTTTCGATGAGCTGTGAGGTAAATCTCTACTGCTCCCGAGGATGAAGTTTCCATGGCGATAGTGAACCATTCCAACAATGAAGAGAATATGATTAACACGATTATATTGTCATGAAGAAGGGAAATTTCTTGTAGTCTTCTGGATTCCTTAAGGAAAATCATTGATAAAACTGATACGAGGAAATAAACAAACCCCACACTGAGTAAAAATATGCACCATTGTTTGGAGCGAAGACAAGCAGGTGTGCTCTCTCCTAATCCTTGAAAAATAGGAAAACTGTGGTATGTCATGATTTTTATAGTTTTCAGGACTCATTGATCGATCCATTCTTTGCCATCTTGGAAGCAATATGGTAGGTTTTCCACTTAGTTGATGACAAATAAATGCGATTACCCGCTGTGGTCTAAATTGTGTCGTCCTCGGACCACAAAGAAGGTATTTTCATCACGCATAGTTCATAAGCTGGCCATACCACGAAAACAAACACCACGCTATACCACTTTAAGAAAATAGGAACCCTCTTTCAAGCTAAGGACTAGAATCCGCTCTTAGGATTACAACTATTTCTGAATTCATTCGATGACATATTTGTTACCTTTTAAAGTCATTATTAATTAAATCGTGAATTACAGGCGTGATCGGTTTTGAAGTGCTTGTAAACAGTACCTGTTGAAAATACTTCATTTGTAATGCTATATGTTATTCTTTTAGATTGAGATTAAAAAGATAAGAAAAAGTCTTGTGAAAAAAATATACTTTTGAAAAAAAAATTTGTTCGAAGATTGGGAAAAATACACTTCCGAAAATTTAAGTTAACGAAATTGTGCAAGAATTCACCGTACTAGTGTCACACCAAAATTGTTCGCCTGAGGAAGACAAGAGTAATTTCTACGGTAAGTGCGTAAATCAATGAAGGCAAGATACTGGTTTTTTGCTTTTTCATCGGATCAGTGCCACTTTTAAACGGACGTTTACATTTTGAGATCGATAGAAATTCGACATGCCATTCATCCCTTTGGCCGCCACCTTTATTCAAAGGTTACTTTTCTTCATTCAATTAGTTTTGTACAATTTAGCCCTTAATTTCCAACTCCACTTGATTTCGCTTCATTGACATTCTCGACCAGCTCGGCAAATATTCCACCGTTCGGTATTAACACTTCACGTTTAAGAAACCTCATCATGCGCTCGCCTACCGTCACGAACCAACATATTGTTATTGTCCATGATGATGTTCAGACGATGGGCAACGGTGAAGTGCATTGGAAGTTTTAAGTTGTTGCGAATAACTGGCTGAATGAAACTGTTTAAAAATGTTTAAGGTCAGTAATAGAGCCAAGTGGCTCGTCTGGCCGAAGCTGATTCTGAATTTCGTGGCACGAAGTAACAAGGAGAATTGTCGCCTCCTTTAGGTGAGAACCCTACTCTAAAGATTGCAGTTAATTACCAAATACTTCGTCAGGTTTTCGTGAAAATTCATCGGTATTTCATTATACTACCGGGTGGAGATAGGCTCCTCATCTTTTACTAAGTGAGATATCACGGTTATATGGCGTAATTTAGGTACAAAATGTTTTCGGTTCAAAAGGGAAAAAAGATGAACGCACACAATAGCTGGCACTCACACAAACATATACTTATGATAAGCAGCTTGAGAAAAATATGTAGAAATTAGTAATGATTAATGATAATTTTCTCACGACCAAGTAATTTCTGATGCAAATCGCGACTTTTGCATTGCATACTGAGTACTGTCCTTATAGAGCTGTATGTTCAGCTGTGATTAGCTGGTGTTCAAAAGCTGTGGAGAAGACTGGCATTATTGCTATTTCGGGCTTTTACGCTTTATTCCGTTGGCTTCACTAAAGTTTCCCCTTACTGGTATTTTTCACTAGTTCAGCGAACATTCCACCATTCTGTATCAAAATTTCAGGTTTGTCAAACTCCACCACTCGTCCGCCATCAAGAACCAGCACCTTGTCACAGTCCATGATAGTGTTAAGGCGATGAGCAATGGTCAGCACAGTGGAGTCTTTAAACTTGTCACGAATAACTTTCTGGATCAGGTTGTCGGTCCTGAAATCCACATTGGCAGTGGCCTCGTCCATGACGATGATCTTGCTCTTCTGGACCAATGCACGAGCCAAACAGACCAGCTGCCTCTCACCAACACTAAAGTTAGACCCCGTTTCCTTCACCTGGTAATCTAGCTGACCAGGAAACTTTTCCACCATGGTTTTTAACTGCACTTCTTCAAGAGCAGTCCAAAGTTGCAGATCAGTGTACTCTGAAAATGGATCGAGGTTCCTCCTCAGGCTCCCTCCAAAGAGAACCGGGTCCTGCGCAATCACAGCCATGGCACGTCGCGCTCTCTGAAGGTTAAGAGTTTTAATATCGACACCGTCAATCAACACCTGTGGCGAACAAATGCAAAGTAAATTATAATCATATTCAACATTATCAAATCATTTAAGAAATATTTATCACGTAGTGCTGTTTCATACTTGCAGAAGTCTTACACCTTGATGTTAAACGTCTTATCCACTCTACTTGCTATTCAACATACTTTGCAATTCTTTGCTGAGAGGAAGACTTCCCAGAAAACCACTTGTCACAGTGACTTAGGCCCGCTCTTTTACCCACAGTTGTAGCGACTACCTAAACTACTGTGGGGATTTTCATTGTGTTGCGTTACAGCACTTCAGATCAAGACATGACACTGAATATTAAACCAAGCAATTTCCTCACCATCGGTGTTGCAACTATAGTTTTCTCACAGCTGATCTGATCTTTACTCTTTACAAAACTTTTTACTGCAAGTTACCAGTTTCCCGTTGTCTGTAAGAGTACAGACAACGCTATTCGCGTCAACAGTTCACGCAACGAGTCACGCACTGGAAGAATCGTTTCATTTGACGAAGACATTGACCAATGTGATGACGAATATCTTTGTCGATAAGAGTACAGGCCACGCTAAACCACTGTTGATTTGTTTAATAGTGCATGCATATTTCTGTTTGCAGCTTGCTAAGTTGCATAACGTTATGTCAACTTGGAGTTACAACCTGGTTAACACGAGGCTTTCCCGCGTGCATTTTCGCAACAGTTCAGAACATTGTAAGGTAACTTCGCTTTTCACGTCTTAAAAAAATACTTGAATATCCAATGTGAAATACCGTACTCTAACCTTTCCTTCCGGTTCAGGCATGCGCAAAAGCGCTGCGACAATGGATGACTTGCCAGCTCCCGTTCTGCCTGCAATACCTATCTTCTCCTTGTCAGCAAAGAACACGCTGATGTCTTTCAACACCTGCGGACCACCTTTGGTGTACCTTAGGGACATCTTGCTGATTGTTATGTCACCCCGCTGCGGCCAGGACGCAGGAGGACAGGTTCCTGTGCTATATCCCGGCTCAGCTTCTAAAGCAGTGTACCACATTACTCTCTCAACTGAAGTCATGTGGTTCTCAACGTCTGAACTTACTTTGATGCCATACTGGACCTCATCCAAAGACTCAAGCAAGAAAGAAAGGGACATCCCGGCCAAAGCTAAAATATAATTTGAATAAAAAATACAATATAATCTATATACTTGAGGTGTGAAGTGCTTTTTTGCAATTCTTCTCTCTCTCTCTCTTTTCTATGTCCGCGCGTCTATCTACCTGGCCGCCAATCCCTATGCTTGTCGGTTCCGTTCGATATATCTATATGTTCATCCACGGTAACTCTGTCTGTTTTTCTGTCTTTTTACCATTTCGTATTTCTTTGTCTGTGTTCTGGTCCGACCAAGTCGTTCAATTTCTGTCTGTTAATCTCACTACTGTTTGTTCGTTTGTCTTTCTGGCCGCCTGCCCGTGCATACTTTTGCCTTCATGTTGAGCATATTTTCTCAGTCTTTGCCCAGCAGTCTATTCGTCGCTTCCTCTGCTTGTCTGCCAACCGCGGAGCAGGACCTCTTCGAACATTACATGTATTTCCAACACAGACAAAAGCTACCCGTTCCTTAAACTATTAGACCTAAGAAGCTCTGAAAATTGATGAAACGTTACCTGGGCTTTGAGTGACAAGAACCGCCCCAATTGCTGCGGCAGCTATCATTAGACTGCATGCAAGCGTCATGCGTACAGTAAGCCACTGTGTGCCTGTTATTACCATGATGAAAGCTGATGTATTTTCATCCTGGTACCTTAAAAGATAAAAGGAATTAAGCTGAACGCTACGCTAACAAAATCCAGAAGATTTTGGGATGGAACTATGGGAAGACGCGTTAAACGAACCTAGTAGCGCAGGCTAAAACTGATATTTTTTTTTATGGAGGACGCGTATCACAGATGATCTATTTCCTGAGGTCAATTAGGTCGCTCGATTCTAGCTATTTAGCCACGGCCTCAAGAAGCAAAAACTTTATTTGACGAGTACAGAATTAATAGTCCGAACTGTGCAAACCAAGACAAAAAAGGGTTGTCGGTATTGAAGGTGGCAATTACATTTGTTATGAAGTTTCATCGTTTGCCACCTTATGTAGTCACTACAGATGTGGATGAAGCCTTCAGTAACTTAACAAAGCTAGTCTCATGAATACCAGCCAATCACAGTTTAGCATAAAGCGTTATTAGGTGACCTGCATCTATTCTGAAAAGGAGTAGTAGCACGCAATAGAAACGTAGCGATTGAAATCGAAAGTGCTTGTATCGAGAGAGAACAATGACCACAAATTAAAAAAAAAAAAACTCTTAGTCTTCGCAAAGAAAAGCAGGTATTTAACTTTTTTTCCACTTATTTACTCAATTTTTTAATGCTTTCGAAGGGGTTATTCATGGGTTTTGGACTGTACACTTACCTGAAGAGACTCTTCAAGAAACGCTGCTCCATTTGGGATGAGCGAATTATTTCAAGTCCAGCGATGGTCTCTGAAATGTGCGAATATACAGGGCTGCAGGTGATAGCCTCCAATCTTTTAATTTCTCGAGATGACTTCAAATAATATCGTCCATAATATAATACAATTCCGACAACAGGGATCGCCACTAAAATAAGCCAGGCATTGGCTGCAATTGGAAGAAGAACAGTGCTGACGGAAAATAAGGAAACTTCCACTGCCAGTAGGAAGTGAGGAGGTAAAACATCGTCCATGTTGCCGATGTCTTTAGAAAAACGATTTAAAATGCGCCCAACTGGGGTTTTGTCAAAATACAGTGCTGGCACCTTTAGGACAGCCAAGACCATTCTGTTGTGTAATATCTCAGAAGCATTCAGGAGTGTGAAACAAAAAAGGACTGCAACAGCTATGTTCCCTAAAAATGAAGATCCAACAATAGCGCCGTATATTCCCAATGTCGTAAAAGATCTTTGTCGCTCCTGACTCATTTCCGAAACCTGAGAAGCCCACCAGTAAGAACCAACGAGTAACCCTAAGCAAATATAAATAGAAAATGATGATCTTAAAAATTTTGATAATAATTGAAATCACATCATCGGAAAATAGTGCTACGATTTCAAATAGTGATAGGCAGGTATCTTTTCCCCGAGAAAATCACTTTAAAAGGTCAGCCTGGATTCATCACCCGTGGTATGTCAGCTCAAACATACTTATGTGTTTCCTGAAGAGATCAATATAACCGCGATCTACAAAAGCAATGAAGACTCTTATGTTTGATTTGTTTCTTTGTGGCATTTCTACCCAGAAAAATAAAAAACTTGAATTCACCAACACATATCTTTTTAAGCGATATCATTAGTATAATATAGATCCTTAGTAGCCTCAACTAGGATAAAACCAGAAGGTTACCTACGTCAATGAAATTGAAGCTTGTGAATTACATTAGGAGAAAATGTCAAGTTGCTGTCGTTTAAAACGAATGTTATTCTCATACCTTTCATGCAAAGAACAGCCACAAAAAGGCAAAGGACAAAAGGAATTCTAAGGGCTGTCCTGATGTAGCTCCAATATATCTTCCAAGTAATGGATCCAGTATTACGATCTTCTTCCTCTTCTTTCAAATCTTGAAACCCGAGGCCTTCATCATTGGGAAGCTGTGGGCTTCGATGCGGAGATTGGCTTGTCACCTCAGCACTTTCTGTTTGAGAAACAAACTTAAAATTTTTTGAGGTTTCGTCCAGGAAGCAATATCTTTCCTCACGTTTGACCCCGTTGTCCAATACAATAACGTCATGTATGTGAGTCAAGAAGTCTAGCTGATGAGTCACAAAAACACGAGTCCGGTTTGAGAGATATCCACAAATGCAATTATTAAAGAGATGCTTTCCAACTTTGGCATCCACTGCACTGAGAGGATCATCCAGCAAATATATATCAGCAAACGAGTACAGCGCACGTGCTAAACTTACACGTACCCGCTGACCACCACTAAGGCTCACACCACGGTGTCCTATCTCCGTCAAATCTCCTTTGGGGAAGTTTTTCAAGTCTGGTTGCATACAGCAAACATCAAGAATCTCGTTGTAACGGTTTATGTCAAGGGGTCTTCCAAATAAAATGTTGTCCCTAACAGTGCCCGAGAAAACCCAAGGAATTTGTGGAACGTAAGCAACTCTTCCACGAAATGTCACTTTTCCACTGATAGCAGGTAGCTCTCCAAGAATGGCCATCAACAGAGAGGACTTTCCACTTCCAACTGGTCCTGTTACAGCTAACATCTCACCCTGGCTCACACAAAATGAAATGTTCGTTAAAGCTCTCCTGTCTTCTCGTCTGTTCCACGAGGCCGAGACGTGGACTAGAGATAGCTCGTTCTTTTCAATATTTGTCTTAGTTGGTGTTCTTGACATAGAGAGCAATTTAGCATCTCCAGCTTTGAAGCTCTCTTGTCTAACGACGTTTGTACTACATTCTTTTCTTTTTAAACTTAAACCAATTAACCCATTTCCGCAATTCTGCTTTCCAAATGTAATTTTTGCGCTGGTCTCGGCACATGTTAATCCAAAATCCCTTGACATAAACTCTTCTATTCGTTTTGCAGCAATGAAGCTTTCGGTAACAAAGGGCAGCGAGTAAGCCAAGGCGATAGCCACAGAAAAATTTATTACATTGAGGCAGGATAAGATTGTAAACATTTCGAAAGCAGTAATCGTTTCTCCAGTAGCGATCAAAGTTATTATAGACAGCAGACTGGCCAATGGCGCTGTTGTGTAACCCAGGGAGTTCAAGCCGCTTATTATAAGCCCTCTTACTTTGACGAACCACATTTCTCGCCTGTGAAGGAAAATGATTTAAATCTAAATAACCTGGTCTCATTTTTCTCTTTTTTTGCCTTAACATATTTATGACGATAACTCGCCTCTGTAGCTCGTCTCTTTCATTGGGGGAGCTAGGAGGAGAGTGGAAATGAAATCAAATGAACATAATAATAATAATAATAATAATAATAATAATAATAATATTTTTATTGTTATTATTATTATAACGACAATTAATAATAATAATAATAATAATAATAATAATAATAATAATAATAATATAAATAATGACAATGAGACTTAGCCGTGGAAATTTTGGAAGAGGGCGCTCATCTTCTACGTTATTCCTGGGTCGATAAATCCCTGGAGCAAAGAGGGGAGAACCAAAAACAAATTCAACCCACATAAGGTCCACGAATCAATACTGGATCACAGTAGTTAGTCTCATTCGTTGGTTTGTTCATAAAAACAACAAAGAAAGAATTTGAAAGCTACGGATATCCTGCTGGAAGCAAGCAAGCCTCTTGCATTAGTTTCGATGGTTGCTCAGGATTGAAAGTTGAAGTAAAACATATTGATGCTATTTTTCTGCTTTTAGGCACCAATAACATCAATAAATCATCTGTTCTGCTTATTCTACCTCCTTAGTTGCTTGATTATTTCAGCAAAGTTCAATTCCCAGGCGTAAATTTTAACAGCTCGAACACCATATACAACCTCGTTCATAACTTGCAATCTTTTATCTCTAGCCTCTGCTATTTTGAGCCGTAGTTTTCCACTTTGATGCGACAGTACAACGGAGCAAAAAATGGACATAAAATAAACTGAGACTCCGGCAAGAGCTTTCCATCCGATCAAGGTCAAAAGAATTGTGCAAGAACCAAGAATCTCGAGAGGACAGAGAAGAATATTGACCAATCCCCACAAAACTTTTTCTAGCTTCTGAGCATCGTTTGATACAAGATTTATGGTCTTCCCTGTGACAATTTCCTGAAGGTCACAGCGCTTAAGCTCGGTTAGAATCTGTGTTTAAAGAGGAATATCAAATAGGGTTAATTGAACATTCAAAGACACTTGGTTATTTTACAGAATAGTAATGCTTTCTAGATTGAAAGCATGACCTTTTGATAAGTTCACGCAGCAACCAGGTGGAAATCAGACATGGTTTGATGCTACTCTGGTTTAAAGATTCAATGAATGTAACCAAAATTACAATTCATTAACCCAACGTTTCAACAATCCTGTCTAGTGCCTTCATCAGGGGTGATCTGATCGTTGCAACAAGAGGCTCTTTTACAAGCTCACTCATTAGCTGCCGTTTTTTTCTGACAAGGAGTAAATAGGCGTCAGGTAGTAAGCCGCCATCATCACGATTTTAAGGAGCGTGGAGCAGAGTTGATATGCCAAGCTTCCAAACAAAGGCGCTGGTGGTTGCGGCGATTAGTGGTGATAATTTTAGAATTATCCCTGTTGTTACAAGGGTCAGCGGGCTCGCGAATATCAGAGTCCGTATTGCTAAATATCGCTGTCATCACCGTTGCGAAGAAAACAATGTGGTTCCATCGAGTTTGAGATTTCAGCCTACCCTGTAGAGTGCTAAGGGATACAAGCTCGTGTTCCGTGCTAGTTTTTCTTTTCTGAAGTTACGAACAGCTGAATGCCACAGTTCTATACAATGGTTGCGTGCATTTTTCTCTCATTCACTGACTCAATGAACTTTCTGCTTTGATGAACAATTCCGAAATCTCCTGGGTCGACGGGTTCTTCTGTTCGAAAGAGCAACGGACGTTTTTCAAACAGTGATAAACACGACAGAAAACTCCGCCATTTGTTCAATGAGAGGTCTCCTGGTGATTCAGGCTAAACTCAGAAAAAAAAAATGGGTCATGAATCTTTCCTCCAAGGAGTTATCTGAGCTGGAACAGAGTGATTTAGAGAAACGGGTCTCAAGTTTGCTGTTGCTCCTAGCAAAATACCGACTGCCGAAATAGTCGCCGCAATAGAGGAGAGCATTTCTCAACTTAACGACGACCATAAGAATTCGGTACGAGCAGAAGTAAGCAGCACACTTAGGCGGGTTAAACATGCTCCCAAAAACATTCAAAAGGATGTTTTCAATGCCCTCATTACCCTTAAAAAGGATCTAGACAGGCTCGTATCATCTCCTGACATGGGTAATTGTGTTGTAGTAATATCACAATAGTAATATCGTGACAAAGTTTTGTCCCTGCTCGATGACAAAAGTACGCATGCAGTCCTAAACTCTGATCCTATCAGTAAAACTTAAAGAAGATTAAACAAAATGTTGCTTGATTTGGAAAACAACTGGTAAGATTAAAAGATACTGGTAAGATACATATTAAAATGTTGTACAGTAGTGTCGGCTTATGTTCACGATTTTATGGCTTACCAAAAATTCTTGAACAGAGAATTTCTTTGAGACCTATCGCCTCTTTTTTTAATTTTCCGACTTATGCAATTTCTCGTTCAGTTGCGAGGATTTTGTCACCAATTGTTGGGAATGCTGATCACAATGCCAAAAATTCCTGCGAATTTGCGGATTTCATATGAGATAAAACTCATAACGCTTGTGAAGAATTGGTATCTTTCAACGTTGTTTCGCTCTTCACTAAAATCCCAGTTGATCTTCCCGTTAAAGTTGCGGAGGAGAGACTCAGAGAAGACGCTTCCCTGGGGCAAAGAACTTCTCTTCCTGTGTAGGATATCATTCTGTTTTGTTAAACTTAGTCCGTGACGTTTTTCCTTTGTTCTTGTTTCTTTTTGTCGCGTTACGTTTCGGTACATAAACACGAGGTAGAGCTTGGCCATATGTTCTTTTGGACTGTAGCTTCTCACACGTGTTCTTATCGACGAGCTCTTGCGGGCTGTAAACTCTTCTTTTAATAGTTTGGTTCGCACAAAATGTAAGTAGGATTGCGATTGACGCTTGTTTTAGGTATTCATTTTGTTTATTCGTCCTCTTGTTTGTTATCTTTCTCATTTTTCACCGTCTTGTAACCGATTTTTCGTGACATGTTCATACTAACAATTGTGATGGTCGAAAATTAAAGGAATATTACGGATAACGCGTCGAAGCTTTGTGCTATCCCCAACACATTAACCTACAGTCTTTCTGACTCAAAACCGCTTAATTCGCATATAACGGTACCTGCTATCAATAGGTCTTTGGTGCAGCTATGGGTTCGCCCGTCTCTGCTAATATTACAAACATGGTAATCGAAAACGTAGAACAAAGGGCTTTAGCCACTTCACCGGTTAAACTCCTGCTCTGGAAACGACATGTGATTTTTTTTTTATTTCAGCGGTATCCAAAAGTGAAGCGGAACGCCTCCTAGTATACATTAGAATTCAGTGGAGCCGTCTATCCAATTCACCCTTGAAAGTGAAAAGGATAGATACTTGCCCTTTCTTGATTTAAATGTGTGCAGAGCGGAACAGGGGAAATTAAAGACAAGTGTTAATCGTAAACCGACCCACACCGACAAATATCTCGCTTTGACTCTCATCACCCTGTTTGCCATAAAAAGTCCGTAGCTAAAACTTTACTCAGGAGGGCCGACTGTCTACCGACTTCACTTGATTCTAACCTGAGGCGAGAAAATATGTTTCCAATGTCTTAAAGGGAAATGGCCATACCAAAACATTTCTGCGTAACTGCCAGAAACCAGTTACGAATAGTAACACTCCCGATTAGAAGGAAACAGCGACTGGTTTTGCTGTTATTCCTTACATCCGGGGTGTTACGGAGCCCATGAAGAGAATTTTGAATAGCCACAGCGTTAAAGTTGCTCGAAAACCTTTTCAGACTTTGGGGCATATTTTTGCCAAACCTAAGGATCCTGTTACGAAAGAACAACGAACCGATGTTATTTATTCTATTCCGTGTAATTGACTGTGATCACGAGCATATCGGACAGACCCAAGCGTCAGTTTAGTACACGTTTGAAAGAGCATCAGAAAGCGGTCTTCTTTGGAAAAAAAGAAAATTCAGCTCTGTCGGAGCACACATGTCTAACTAACCAAACAATTGGGTGGGATAATTCTAAAATTATCACCACTAATCGCCGCTACTACCAGCGCCTTTGTTTGAAAGCTTGGCATATCAACTCCGCTCACGCTCCTTAAAATCGTGATTATGGCCGCTTACTAACTGACGCCTATTTACATCGCCATTAGTTGGTGAACCACTGTTCAGAGTAAGAACATTTTGGCAGTGAGAGGATAGATTTGTAGAGTTACATAACCTATCTAATACAATTGGCACTAAGGGCACCGGAATTAAGGATCCTACTACTGATAGAAAAAATATCATGGCATCTTTGCGAAAACCGGACGAAATCAGCTGTTAGGATAAGCCTTGTTTCAAGGGTCTTTGATCACTACACCCCAAAGGGAGTAAGGAAATAAAAGAGTTCTCTGAATCCGTCTCAACTAAGAAGAGGACTGATTCTTTTTTTTTATTATTATCAGTTGAATCAGGTGACTTGGTTGCTAAATTTTCACTCATATTTTACCATACTAACCCAATTGTTACTTCAGTGCAATGGGATAGAGGACCAAACAGGCATTTCCCTCCCCGTTTTCCAGCTCGTTCGGTACCATTTATACCCACATCCAACCCAAAATGAAGTTGTAAAAACTAAAGCGCGGCTCACACAGATTACAAGATCAGAAACGTTAAAGTGACAGTATATACACAGCTACTTTACTACACTGCTTCAAATTTGTGGCACTCACCTTTTTGTAGACAAGCCCAATGCTCGCCACCTTTAGTCGCATGCCCCATATTTCTGTTATTCCACTGTAGTGATTCTTGGTCAGTCCTTTAACTACAGAAAGGAAAATTATACCACCAACGAACAGAAAGGTAGAAACAGAATATCCCTGCTGTTCCCGTTCCAGTTCGGACAAGAAAAACCACAACAGCATCGGAAGAAAAACGGTGGCAAGAGTCCTCAGTAATCTCAGAATAAACATCATCATGTAAGCCCTCCATGAGAGCATTCTGGATAATGCTCTCCACATACGAGGTTTGCAGCCAAGGGCTTGGCTGCTGTTAACTTCTCGTTGCCATTCAATTTCAAGTTTATGGACGAGTTTATCCATACTGTCTGCTTCGCGAACAGGAAAAATGTCTTCTTTTTCCAATGGTTTTCTGCTGCCAAGTGTCAAGACGGTATTCATCCATTGCAATGTTACTCGAGAAAGCCAGTTTGCAGAGTCATAAGGATGTGGTGCTGTTGAACGACTACTACTGGCCGATTCATTCCTTTCCATATTTCGCTGGTTATCCTTTTGTTTTTCTTGTTCTGTAAAATAGGACTACACTTCAACCCCTAAATGAACAGGCCACGTAACGCACACTAACGCGTTAAACGCGCGAGGAGAGAGTGGGGCGGGGGGAGGGTGGGTCGAACTTAAGGGGAAGAGGAGCTCTAAGAGATAACGTACCTTTTCAGGGGGCTATTGCGATGCTGAAAGCATGACGTGATTGAAACTTGGCAAATTTACTTGAAGACAACCTCGCTTCGTATTACTTGCGCTTATAGGGGCTTTGCTCTAATCTAACAATTTCACAATAATTGCGAAAGGGATGGAAAAGCTACTTATAATCTTAGCTGCTTAGGGACTAATAAGAACATCTTTCCACCATAAAGGTTGTAATGTTGTGTTGGTTTAACCAATCAGGGTGGCACTCGTTTAACTACAATCAAACAATGCTTTTAGATCAAAGGTGAACACTTCGCACACGCTAGCTTGAACATTTCGTTAGTTATAATTCGATCATTTGCATACGCAAATTAGTTCATGGACCGTGAACCGATGAAGGGAACGATTTTAACTAAAAAATGCAAATTCAAACCACTGACTGGTGTGGAAGGCGAGCTAAGTCCTATACTGAATTATATTCCTTAGAATTTTTGCTCAAGAAAATAACGCATTCTTGTCAATTAGACAGTTATTTAATCTTTGCTCGCTTACCCTTATCAGCGTTGAGACATAACGCCGGAGAAACACGAACCGTAGTGATGATGAGCAAAACACTGACTCCTATTCCATGAGCTACCCCAATGGACTACCCAAATGAACTACCCTAAAATAGACTAACCCTGTGAGTCTTTTGTTATTTCGCTACCACAACAAATAACATGATATTTGGGCGATTATTTCAAACATTTATCAAAGTCCCTCTTACGATAACGAAAAGTGAATCAAAGTCATGTTTTTCCCCTGAGGCCCAGTACTGCTCCTGAAGTAAGCGCGAAATCAATATTATTCACTGTTTCGTACTTCATTATATAAATAGATTGACGCAGATATTTGCCATGTACATGAGAGATTCTTCACAGTCAGTAATCCCTAGATTCAGTGGTACATTCACAGCAGCATGGTGATCGAAAGCGAAACACACCAAGGCGGCATGTTGTATAAACTGACACGTTGTTATCGCCCCGATTTCAGTCAACGTGTTTACAAGTCAGTAGTAATGAGTTGAAGCTCGAAGCAGAAACAATATGCTACATCACTGAGGTGGACACAAGTATTAAGCAAAATAGCGTACTGAAACTATGTAGACTACGGAAGCGATTTATTGCCATTCCCCGCGCTAACTCAAAGTTGATGTTTGACTTTTAACAAAGGCAGTGCAATGCCGGTTTTTTGCACTGCCTTCGTTTATTAAACTCAAACATCAACTTTGAGGCAGCGCAGGGAATAGGTAAGTCTACAGTTATCAGTACTTTCAACAAAACTCATTCAAAATTGGCGGATATTGTGGGGTTAGTCCATTTTAGTGTAGTCCATTTGGTGGGCCATGAGAGTGGTCCATGAACCAGGGGGCAGTATTTCGTCCATCGACTAATCGCTGCGAACCGATTAGAAGAAAAGATACGTGTATTTCATTTTACGCTGACTCGTTTAAATGGGCGAACTCTTAGAACCCTTGGCTCAAAAGTTATTATGATTCTGTTAGTAGATGATTGTGTAATCTTTTTTAACCATTTCGTTGGCGACGAAGCGTCTGTTAAAGAGAAAAATTAAATATAAAAGAACCTTGATTTTTTAGTGAGAATTATGCAAAATGCAATACCCATAATTAATTTCTTTTCAATCACCTGGTGTTACCTTTTATACTCATGCTAGACGTCTCTTCACTTCTCCTACGCCACTTCTGGTTGCCTTCGCCCTTCAGAGCTTCGCCTATCGGCCAACTGTTCGTTTTGCCTCAAGCAATACATTATCCTCCAATATTTCAGGTACAACGTGACAGCCCTTAGCTGTGACTCAAAGGCCTTACAGAGCAGCATCAGCTAATTTTCATGTGGTAAGTCACGCACCAAGTAACGCAAGTCTCCCTCGTAGCCGTCGTTTAGGATGTCACGCAGCGGTCGTCCTAAACTAGTTTGCAGTTTCAGGTCTAACTTTTCATACTTAGCACAATTTTATGCTTAGCATGTGAGATATGCTGCACCCCAATAGTGGATGCTGATCAACTAGCTAACATTTTCTCACTTTGCCAAGATACTATGTGCAGATTCATCCAGCCATTGAAGGTGCTGGGTTGATATTCTTCGAATTTAATGTACTCTAAAATAAATTCATAACAAAATCGTTCGCAAATAATTGGGTACACATAAAAAAAAACCCATAACATGACTTATAAGGTATCATTTACCCGTATTTTCGTCCAAAGTCTGTATTACCCCTCCTCCCCAATTAGAAATTGTAAAGGTAAACACACGCGCACCGCGCATTTTCATTGGAAGAAGTAAGAACGTATTCTATTGGTCCGAAGGTACAAAGGTTGTAACACTCCTGACAGTCACATTCTGAAGTATACATTTAGCGTGGAGAATAATGGAGTGGAACTTTCTATCCGGTGTTGGTGCCTTATTTCTTGGCTACTATTCTTTAAACTTTGTGCTGCAAGTTCTTCATGGAATAAGAGCTTTTGTTCTTCCAGCTCTTGGTCTGAGGAAAACTCTCAAGAAACTGGGCGCATGGGCAGGTTCGTCGGACAAAAGCTTTCGTGATTTTCATACTCAAATCTTACGTTACTCCAGTTGATCTATCCTTAAAGTTTAACTGGCAGATATTTTGCTGCGCACTTAATGTAGCTGTTCATTAATGTTAAGATCTTAGAAATTGATTGAGCTGATCTCCCCATGTTTATCATTTCCTTTTCATATTTTCCAGTGCGAACTGCTTGACTCAATTATGATGTTTGCACTCCTGGTAGAATGCCCCGGTGTAACATGACGGCGTGTGGAACAAATGATTGAATTAATCTCCGTGATGCGAAGGATTTTCGTTTTATCTTCTTACTGGCGCTGCACAATCTCTCCCTTTTTTTTCAAGGTTCATGCTAGGCCAGCTGATTTAGTTTCCCACATGTTTTACAGAAATTTGTTGCTTAATTACAAACTTTGCAGTGCCTGACTAATCGAGTTAAAGGGTTTTCTCTATAATTTGTAAACTAATTTATTCCTTGTGCATGCAGGGCTTAAGTCAAGAAAATTCATTTGAATCCTTTTACGTTTGTAGTCATCACAGGGTGTACTGATGGAATCGGAAAAGCCTATACACATGAGGTACTGTGATGTTTATTGTTTATCATCTCACTTCTGTTTAAGATGTAATAATTATATTTAACCATTGAATCAATAGTAACAGGTAATATTCACTCAAACAGTCAATTGTTCTCAAAATAAAGCATAAAATGAGTACAAACTCCAAGTGATAGAAGGCTGTGCTGTGTTGAAGGGGAATTGAACCTGTATACTACTGAAAAAAATTTCATCCGATGGCCAGTGAAGAGATTTGAACTTGGACCCCCTTATCATGACTCTGCGGTTTTCTTCCCCTGTCTGAGATGCCTGTTAGTTTTTTTTTTTTTTTTTTGTATAACAATTTATTCTTGTAAAAACTACACATGTACGTCAAGTGGTCTTACAGCATAGTAGTAATGTCAGAGTTACAAGTAACATGTAATTGGACTTTGGATTTCTTACCTTGAACTCATTTGACATCATTGGAGAAACAATAAAGGAAATGAATAACAGAGAAAGAAAAGTATAGCAATTATTACTCAAAACTCATTGGAAATTAATGAAATGGGAATACAGTTCTCTTTTAAATGAGTCAAAGTTGGATATTTAAATCTCTCACTAGTTTCATTCCATAATATAGGTCCAATGTCTTGAATATTAAATATACAATAAAAAAGATAAATAACGAAAATGGCAAAATATAGCGAATATTTTGCAATCTAATAGAAATTAATGAAATACAATGATGATTCTCTTTTAAATGAAGAGGAAGTGAGAATCTTAAATTTCTCATCAGCTTCATTCCATAATAATTATAAATAAAAGCAAATGATTCTCAGAGCAGATAATTATGTCTTTGTTGTACTCAAAATATGTCTGACTCAGTTGAAAGCTGCAGTGTATGTGTAATTTTGTGATTTTGTGCTAACCTGACAGCTTGCAAAGCAAGGCATCAAGTTGGTACTGATCAGTCGCACTAAAGAAAAGCTGGAAATGTTGGCTGCAGAACTAAGTAAGTAGTTTATTAAATGTTAGATATTTGTCAGTCTATAATTCAAACTTAACAAGATTAGTTTTTCTTCCCCTAGACCACTGTACTTTTCCTCATCACATCATGGTGACATCTCAATGGCTGATAAGCCTGTCTGTTCTCAAAAACTATTTACATTTTTTAATTTTTTAACTTTATTTAAAGAAGGAAGTGCAATAACCTATTACAGTTTTCTAACTTGCACTCCTCATCAAATAATCCCAACCCATCCCACCCCAGGGGAGTACACCCATCACACAGTAATCTCGTGCGTGGGAAATTAATGTCTCCTACCCCTAACCCTGCAGGAGACGGGACCTCCATTTATTCGTCCCTATCCGAGAAGACTAGAATATCTAGCCATTCCTTGATGTTATAGAAAGGTAGCGTATTCTTCTCAATTATTTTAAGACCTTCAGTGTTGGTCCGGCTGGGGCTCGAACCATTGACCTCCCACACAACAGTCCAGCGCTCTATTCATTGAGCTAACTGGGAGGTGGTGACATTATAACACATTTGGAATTACAGGGAGAAGTTGATCACATCTGATCACAGCTGAGAGTTAAAACGTCAAGGAGGATCTAGGAAATAGTGATGCTTTATAGATACATGTAACATATATCAGCCTTTTGTATCTAGAGATGTATTGTACTTTGATTCACAGAAGAAGCATATGGCACTGAAACTAAAATTATTGTGATGGACTTCACTGGAGGAGCTGAAATCTATGATGGATTAGGAGACAAACTTGCTGGTCTCGATATTGGAATATTAGGTGAGTTATTGCATAATGATAATGTTTTTTTTTTTTTTTTGCATGAAGGGATGAATGTGTACGTGAACCTTTGGTAGCAAGCAAGCTTTGGGTGCACTTTCATAAAATCACTACAACCGATTTATAGATACCATAGCTAAAATCTCTATTCAACAAACATAGGAATAGCATTTGATTTGTGTTCATTAGATTGCTGGGTACGAGAAGTCTTGAAAAGGACATTAATTTTGTTCATCATCAGAGTCACCAAGTACAAAAGACCTCCTCTGTCTTTGTTTCTTTGTTCCTTCTTTCCTTTCATACTTTCTTCCTTTCTCTTTATTTTTTTCAGTAATATTAACTTGTATGTGTTGAATTGTTTTGTAGTGAACAATGTTGGAGTTTCACATTACCCAGAATTTTTTGGCAATATGAAGCAAGAGGTAAAATGTGATATCAGTACACAGCTGTTTTTTTTTCCAATAATAATTAAGTATGGACTCAGAGGTTCCACAGCTAATCAATGTCACTCCAAGGGATCCCTGTGCCTTGTTAACATCAATTATTTTTTGTCATTGATTTCAATTGATTTGTGCAACGCACTTTACTGAAAAGGAGGAACTTCTCATTGTCTAATAAGCATTTGACATTATTCATTAATTTTGAATTACTGCTGGTATGCTAAATGTGGAAAAATTTCATCTATGAAAATAAAATATATTACATGATATACACTTTTAATATAAGAGAAAAATCGAGTTTCCAGATGGGATTTGAACCCACGACCCTCGGTGATCTAGTCGGATGCTCTAACCGCTGAGCTACAGGAGACTCTATGGCGAGCAAGGGTCAATTAGTGGGTATTGACTGGAACCGCATCACGCGGCTACACAGCCAAACATCAGCTAGCGCATAGAAGCTCACTAACAGCATCACGCTGTCACATTAAAGCATCACATGCAGCCAACCAGCTCCCAAAGTGAGCATGTAAAGATGAAATAAACAATTGTTAATATAAGAGAAAAATCAAGTTTCCAGATGGGATTTGAACCCACGACCCTCCGTGATCTAGTCAGATGCTCTAACCACTGAGCTACAGGAGACTCTATGGTCTCACGGAGGGTCGTGGGTTCAAATCCCATCTGGAAACTCGATTTTTCTCTTATATTAAAAATTGTTTATTTCATCTTTACATGCTCACTTTGGGGGCTGGTTGGCTGCATGTGATGCTTTAATGCATGTGATGCTTTGATCCATGTGATGCTTTAATGTGACAGCGTGATACTGTTAATGAGCTTCTATGCGCTAGCTGATGTTTGGCTGTGTAGCCGCGTGATGCGGTTCCAGTCAATTCCCACTAATTGACCCTTGGTCACTAGAGTCTCCTGTAGCTCAGTGATGAGAGCATCCGACTAGATCACGGAGGGTCGTGGGTTCAAATCCCATCTGGAAACTCGATTTTTCTCTTATTATTAAAAATTGTTTATTTCATCTTTACGTGATATACATTTTATTGAGCTTAATCACTTCTGCAATGAATATGCTCTGGGCATCTTGAATAATTATTTCACTTTTTATGTGAGTAATTAAAAGTAAGTTTGGATTTAACTCCCAGAAGTGATTGATTGACATGTAACTTCACCTTAATTTATCCATACATTATCCAACAAAAAGGTAACGAGAATACTCAAAGTTATTAAGTAATTGTCTTGATCTAACACCACATTCTCATTACTAAAATACAAGGAAATGGGAAGCAGCTAGAGGGGAGAATAAACAATCAGATCTTGGGAGCTAAAGGGTAAAGATACATGGGAAGTTGTAATTTAAGTCTTTTCTAAATAGTTGTAAGCTAGTACATATACAGACTGTGCCAGGATTTTCATGAATCTTTAACTCTTTCTTTTGATCATCATGTTGACCAGTATTTTTTCTATTAAAAGACACCAGCCAGTTCACTTATGATCTGTGTGATTTCTTTGTAGGATGCATGGAAGATGTTGAATGTTAACATTCTTTCAGTCACTATGGTCAGTACACTCTCATGCACAGCTGCTATTCCTAGAACTTAACGTGTTAGATATTTTTTTACAGTTGTTTGTTCTCACTTTAGAAGATGACTTTTATTTTTACTTTATTATTAGTACTATTAACATTATCATTATAAACATGTTTGTTTTTTTTTATCATTTTAATAGATGACTCGCACTATCCTTCCAGAGATGGCTGCCAGGTGAGATTGTTGTCATTTAAGACTTCTTTTTTAGCTTCATTTATCTTGAATGCAATCCGTATAACTGTAGGAAACTGGGAGATCGGCGATCACTATGCCTATTCCCATTATGGGAATCATGTGATTTCACTTGGGTGGCTACTACATTTTGGTTTTTCCTTTGCATGGGAACTGAGTTGGCCCAAGGCTGAGAGCTCTGGACTCCAGTTTGAAATGTCTTGGTCCAAGACCTGGCCGGAAAATTGCATCATTTTCTCGTTCATGTTGCTCTCTTATGGTGCCTCTCTTACGTAGGAGTTTAAACAGATATTGGTGAACTGTCACAGAAGCCTCACAAAAAGCCCTGAGTGTGACCTACAATTGACTGGCATTCTGTCCTGTGGGATAAACAATACCTTCCCAAAGTGCCTTCCTTTTGTCTGCTTTATCTTCTCCATTACTGTTTCTTACCTATGGTAACCCCTCTTCCAGCTAGCAAGCTTATGTTCACTCCATGTGTAGGATGGGAGGGATTGCCAGCAAGAAGTTGATTTTCTCATTTTTATTTTCATATAAAGATAGCTCTAAGGAAGTAAAAAAAAAAAAAAAAAAACAATATGTAGAATACATGCAGTTTATTTCCTCTACAGCTGTTTAAGAAAAGTAATTTGTTTTCCAGGTCTAGTAAAAATAATTTTCAAGTTTCCTATTCTGTGAACAAGTCCTAAACTACACATACTGCCCTTTTTTTTTTTTTAATTTTTTTATTGTTTTATTATAAGATTTATGAATACGAATGACTGTTTCCTGATGCATCCATGTTTTCATTTAGAGGAAGAGGTCTGATTATAAATGTGGCCTCAGCAGCTGGCCTGACTCCCACTCCACTGCTTTCCATGTACTCTGGGACTAAGGTCTGTGCTTCTCACCTTATTAATTTAATATGGACTACAAAAGTTATCCTAAAATAATTACCAACTTGACATTTATTGCTTTGCTCTATGGAAAAAATTAGTAAGAAGAGTTAATGGCCTGGAAGGAAAATTTGCTTTTCTCAGATGACTGGACAGTATTAATTTTAACTTCTGGACAATAATGATTTTAAATTCAGGAACCTCTGTGCATCTTTAACCGCAGTTCATGCATATATTCAGTCTTAAACCTTGACTCATCACTTCATGGGTTTATTACAAACCAATATAATGACCAGCTCCCAGTTGGCTTGTTAGCTCAATTGGTAGAACACTGCACTGGTATTGCACAGGTCATGGGTTTGAATCTTGTACAGGCCTGAATTTTTTTTTCACTAGACAGGCCTGTTTTTACTGCTTAAGTAGAGTTCATTACTGTGAAGATGGCTCTCATACTCCTTTCCTTCATGTATTGTATGATAAATCAAGCTGAGGAAAAACAGTGTGCATAATCATTTGTTTGACTTTTTTAAATTAAAACTATTAGAGAAGAACAGTTTTTGTTTCCTACATACTTCAGTGGTGAAAGGTTTTTGTTCCATACCATTTGAAAGATACTGGGTATAATTAGATCACAAACTTGCACAATCATTAGCTTCCAATTTCCTTGATAACTGAATTGGTTAGAGGGCTATGTCAGTATCTAATAGTGTTTGTGGGATTAAATCCCTGTAAACCTAGATTGTTTTTGTTTTGTTTTATTTATTTATTTTTTAAGAGGGGAGTGGGGGGGTTATGACAGCTAATCAGGTTGGTGCATAACTTTGATAATCTTTTGTCTGTAACAGCTTACTTTTATTTGCAGGTGTTTGTGGATTTCTTCAGCAGATGCCTGAATGCAGAGTATTCTTCAAAGGGCGTCATTGTTCAGGTGACTGCTTTTTCCCAAGCACACTTAAGTTGCTGTCAGTGCCTTTAATTAGTGTCATAACCATGTAGTACTGTGAGAGAGATCCAGGTGCAAGAACTTGCCATATCATTGTGTTGTGTCCTTAGAAATACATACAGGTCTCGGCAAATTAATTGTCAGGTAAGCCTGACGAAATGTAGGGGGGTAATCTCATGATAGACTAGCACACCCCCCCCCCTCATCTAGGAGGGAGTAGTACTACTCCTTGTGACTGGTTAGGGTCAAGGTTAGGGAAAAGCTTGCCCTATGGAATCCAGGACAGTTTTTGGCTGCATGAGCCTCTTGGCTAAAGTACAGACTTGACCAAGAGTCAGACTTGCAAGTAGGCATCACCATTAAGGGAAGTCTAATACATATTTTTGATGATTCATCTTCTCCTGCACAATTTTCATTTTATCAAATGTGGTAATATATTTAATCTATACAATTTTTAATAACTATAAAATTTTATTTTTTTTTTCAATTTCATATTTTGTTTTTTTTTTTGTTTTTTTTGTTTTTTTTTGTCATTTTCAGTGTGTGCTACCTTACTATGTTGCCACTAAGATGAGCAGAATCAGGAATCCAAACATATTTGCACCAGGCCCAACCACTTACGTTCGTCAGGCCTTGGGAACACTTGGAGTGGAGTCCAGGACTGTAGGATGTTGGAGCCATGCTTTGCAGGTATCTACATGTACACATGCTTTCATTTAGCCCTGAAAAAAACACATTGTCTAAGGGCCAACATTATTTAAATTAAGGGTCTTTTTACAAACTATTTTGTATAATTTTTAAAAATCAGGCCTTCACAAAGGTGTCACAGAATTTTTTTTTCGATTTTTTTAATCCTTGTTTTCTGCTAACTTGTCATTTGTGACACCTCAAATAAACCAGGTAGAGCAGAAAAAGACAGAATCTAAACATTTGACAAAGGTTTGGTGGCTAGTTAATTTGTGGTGGTACTGTGCAGTTCACATGGGGTGACTTAATGAAAAACAAATTTCCTCTTCTGCAACAGCAAAACGCTCTTTCATCTTGAGTCAGCTGTTAAAGAAAGACTTTCTCCTCATTATTCGCAAAGCATAAAAGTTAGAAAATATCTTTGGCTTCTATTGATAATACCAAACACAACGAATATATGAAATTCATATATCTGAACTGCGGTTATAGAAACATATTTGTGCACGATCCTCGCTGTAACTGAGCACTATTTAAGCAATAGTGAAAATCATACGGCAAAGACGTTTGTCACATTTTTATGCTAATTGAATTTTACTAAATTTACGCACTTGTTGCCCATTCATTTACCATACCTTATAATTTTCACTTTCTAAAATTAAAATTTGTTTCCGAACCTTATTTTCAATGGTTTCGAAAAGAGGTATAGGACAGCCCACTTCATAACGCTGGAATCCTTTGGCAGACGATAAACAGAGAATTCAAACTCTTTTCCTTTAATCCTTTACATTGTGTCTACCTCAACACCGACCTTTTCAAGCTGCTCACTGATTCCATATGCATCACCTAGGAAAAAAACTGTTAGGAACCACACTGAAAAAATTCAGGCCTGAACCACTGACCTCTGCGATACTAGTGCAGCGCTCTACCAATTGAGCCAACTGGGAGCAGGTCATCAAATTAGTCCGACATAAACCCGTAAGATGATAAATCAAACACAACGAATATATGAAATTCATATAATAGTCCATTTTACAGTTCTGTGCTTGGTTGCCAAGCCTTTGAACGGGAGTGAGGCTAGAGATGACCTTGTTATGATACAAACCTTGCTGCCTTTCAAATGTAAATCACTTTGTTATCATGCTAACTATATACAGGTCTCTATCACAACAAGGTCATCTTTAGCCTCACTCTGAATCAAAGGCTTGGCAACTAAGTACACAACTGTAAAATGGCCTATTATCTGGAATTCATGTAATACCATCGGATATTTTTCTCACCTATAGGTGGTCCCGTGACACTTTTAAACCAATTACGCGCTAGCGAAAATATTTTTTGGATCACAAACAAAATTCCAAAAGGATGAGTGTGTTACTGTTTTGCCAATGTAACACTGACGTTCCTACCGGAAATTTTTTTTTTTTTCTTTTTGCAGAACTGGTTTATATCACGGGTTCCAGACTGGCTGAGGCAAAAACTGATGTGGAATGTCAATACAGCGAGGCGAAGGGCTGTCTTGAAACGACTCCGAGAGAAGGAGCAGAAAGACTGATGTGTTAGGCAAATGTTTCTGAAGGAAAGAGAAGTAGGAATTCCGTCAGTGCAAGCAAGGAGTGAATCATATTCCAGCTCAGAACTGTTAGTGTGGGAAAAGAAATGATTGGAAAATTCAAACTAAATTTTGGTCCTTATTCTAATTCTTAGGTTTTTAATTACAGCTAGCAGAGCTTAGTGTCTTATTTTATCCATTTTCACTCTCCTCCCAGGTTGCTCTGAAAAGATTGTCTGAAGACCGTCCGTAAATAAATCCAAAGAGTTTCTGTATAGTTGTGTAATTCTTCGAACCACTCCTTCAATTATCGTTTTTCTCTTAGTTACAGTTAACTCTCAACTAAATTTTACCGCGATATTTAAGTGCGCGCAGATGACGTCATTCACTAGAGATCAAACCTTGGTACGGGTATAAACTGCCCGTTCATTCTTTTTCCAGCATAAGTTTTAAAATTCCCCTTCTCATTCCTAGCTTTACTATTAGGTGACTGCAACAAGCTAACTGCTTTGTGGCGCCCGTTGAGTCCAGGTAATAACTTTGAAAGCTTCAATTTAGGTATGCCGAACCTGAACCATTCCCTCCCCATCTGCCCACCCCGTGGGGTACACAAGAAAAGTTTTGGTGGATGTGTGTCTTTGTTGGCCTCTGAACTTTGTTCCGTTCACTTCGCCACCACGTTTACGAAATAAGGAAAAAGTCGCACCAAAAGAGGTGCAAATCGGGTCTACTCACCCGGTAGGGCTATTCTAATACTAGAACAGTTGAATAAGCAGGAACAGGTCGTAAAAATAAAATAATTTCCAACACATAACAAAACCAAGATGGGTGCTGCAGGAGAAATATAACATACTTCATGGAAAGTGCGCGCGTACACACGAGTTATTGTGGCGTATCAGAAATCGAACAAGTGAGATTTCTGATACAAAACAACTCGTGTGTAAACACCGTTCGAAGCACTTTCCATGTGGTATTATGTTTGTTCTGTTCATACTGAGATTGAACACCCTCAAATTATGACAAGCTTTATTTAAACAAACGTGGTCAAACAACAATCTCTGAAAGAAAGCAGCTTCGTAAAAAGAGCTCAAATGAAATCCAAAAGTTATGAATCCAAAAGTTATGAATCGTGGATAACGAAACAGACCTTTGCCCTGACCAGCAAGGTGTCTCACGTGGCCATAGCAATGGGAGGGGCTGGCCAAAATCATCCTTTTGGATACCCAGGGCCGTTACTACAGTCATTTACGACATCTATGTTTAGCCATAGGCTGTCACCGGCGATGTCTTCTACGCAGCAGCATTCGTTTAGCGCTATGCGTCCACTCCAACCATCCGTGCCCCAAGGTTTTCCTTTACCGCCGAAACCCATCATTCTAATCCTTTCTTTTAAATGAAGCTAAAAGGAAACATCTCAAAATGTAACGGATGTGAAGGAAGCTTTCAAAAAGACTCTCAACCTGTTGATAGCTTGGCAGTCATTGGACGTTTAGAGGTGGACTGGTATCCAAATATGTACTTAGATGGCACAAAATGTTGGAAGTTAGGAAGAGCACAAAGAAGATACTACCATATTAACACAGCATGTCTGTACATACGTCGTCCCTGTTTCCATACAGGCCACTTGCAAGGTCTGTTGAGGAGAACTGGGGAAGGCCTGTCTCGAATGGAAGAGCTTGTCGCGTTCGTTAAGCAGTGCTTTCCTGGAATTGAATTTGAATAAATGGCAGACTAAAGCATTGCTATATTTTCTTTGTACCCTTTTAATGAATAATCGAGATCGATTAAAGGGACGCTGACCATGTTAACCTATAATTCGACGAATGATTTGCTGTTTATTTTTTAGTTTCACGGCCGTTAAAAAATAGATGTTAATAATTAAAAATAAACAAAAGATGAAATAAAAAAAGTCGATAAAAAACAAATGAAGCCGGGGGTTCGATTGTTCCTCGAGGATCTCCGGGTAACTTCGGAGACCCTCGGATAGTTTTCGGTTAATCATCGGAGTATGTTCGGAGCTCGTACACTCTTTGGAAAATCATCGGAGTTGTTTTGAATTAAAAAAACAGACGTTAAAATATTCCGGCGGAATTCCGGATTCCGGCTTTTCCAGACTACCAATGAACACTTCAACTTCCCGTACGGCTCACACATGAAAAAACATGATACGCGGCTCCTGATTGGACGTATCGCTTCAGTCTCACATGCGAGAAAAGCGATACGCGACATTTGATTGGTTTACATAGGTTTGCGAACGAAAATTTACTCTGTGGCTTTTCAGTGTGTAAATCTCAGTATGTATATAATAAAAAGGAATACAGAAGCCCGCAGTCCTCATCGGCAAAACCACAAAAGGGCGTAAAATTTTTGATATCCTTCGAATTCCTCTTTAACAGGGCCACGCCTATTTTACTCAGACAGTATGTATATTCCCCATTGTCTTCTCTCCACATCTCCTATCATTCTGACGTGGAGAAATTATTCATCAATCAGGAGTTTCTCTCGTTGGTGATCATTACGTTCATTCTCTTTACCTTTATACTCGATTCAGCAGTGATATTTCGAGGAGATATTAGTTGTTAGTCACTCTCAAAGATATCCTAGTCCACTAAAACACCCTGTGTTAGACATTCAGTAATAAATATAACCCTCTTTAACCCTGCTTAGACCGATCAAGAGAGCCTGTCTAGGTAAAAGAGTATCCTCGCTTTACGTGGGGGAGGGGGTGGGAAAGGGAGGTGGGGTGGCTCACCTGACCATTCTGTTATGGTCAACAGTTTATATTCTCTTGGTTAGAGCAGTATGCAAGATGACAAGATCTCGAGCTCCTAAGTACTTTTGGATCATAAGAGACGATTTGCATCCAGGAAGACTTGGGAGGCTTTATTATGTGATTTTCTGCTGCGCGCCGATATGGCGGCGAAAAATCGTAATGCTCACATCACTGTGATAAATGATTCGTTTTGTCACGAAATTGGTCAGTTTTGATCGCAAGGGGTCTGAACTGAAACACCTACTATATTTTCCTCTCTAAAAGCATTAGTTGACGGAGGCCCGTGAAAATTAGCACGCTAGCGAAAAGTACATTTTGACTTTGGTTTGTTTCTCGGCGGTGAAACCCATAGCAGGCATTGGGAATTTACGCATTTCATATTGTATTTTAGAAAGTCCTATTAAATATTTTGCCAGCTCACGTCTTTGATTGCAGCATGTAATGGAAGCCGGNTTAGCTATAACGAGGAAATGTACTCTAATGTAAACCAGTGTACCAAACAACGAACAAGGGATCGCCCCTTTTACTTATTTCAACGCTCTTATTTGAGGCGCGGTAAGGGAGGGAGTTTCACCAGATACCCATGGATGGGGCGAGGCGAGGTAGAAGTCTCGTGAAAATCATCAGCGCGCCTTGTCTCCTTCAACATCACAAGATTCGGCTCTGTTTGGTGCATCTGCTTTCCACGAACTAAATTAAAGATCTAAACTATAGCACAGGTGGGCCTTGTCTGACAAGCACGTGTTAGAATTTTGCGAGAGATAACTGTGTGATGTTCATGTGAAACTGCTGCAAGGTCAAAGGCCAATACCCCGCATGTTTCAGAGAATGGTGGGCGTGAAATGAGAAGGCTGGTGGTCGATGTTTAGGCGCTGTCAATTTAGCTATAACGAGGAAATGTACTCTAATGTAAACCAGTGTACCAAACAACGAACAAGGGATCGCCCCTTTTACTTATTTCAACGCTCTTATTTGAGGCGCGGTAAGGGAGGGAGTTTCACCAGATACCCATGGATAGCACATGCCGTCGTACTTGAAGCGTTACAAATGTCAATCAACAAACCACGGGATTGGCAAGTGACTTCTGATAACAGTTTGTAGCTAGGAAGAAGGAAACTAATTCCACGGAAGCATACCGGTAGATGTAAAGCGAATTTGTAACACTTGACGATCAGATGGGGCTGACAAAAATTGAAGTTCAAAAGAGAGATCGATAATTAGATTCCTACACCTCATGGTGCGAATTATCGACGACGGCGAATCAAAGTAAACTACGGGAAAAGTATTGTTCATGGATCTGCAAAATGTTTGGCGTTGTTAAGACAATCCAACACGATGAATTCATCGAGTTTCCGAAGATTTTATCCATTTATCTTCGTATCTCGATTGCTGTTGTCTTTGATCGAAGTTTCTTTGTCTAGCAATGCTACACAAGGTAGGGTGAAAGCTTATTCTTGTGGTTTTTGAAATTGTTTTCGCAATCTTTAGCAGGTGAATTAATAGATCAAAGGTTGTCTAAATATATTCTTCTGTCACATCTCTCGCTCATAAAACGTAGCATACCCACTTAAATAAAAGCTCAGTTAAAGAGAGAATATAATTATGTCAAGCTCTCTTTCTGCATGTTGCATCGATGCGTTGTCGGTCAATTTGAGTCGATGCGATATCTTCCAGGATTGAATTAATTTTTGTCTATTATTTCGTGATAGTTGGTGTCAACTCACGATCTTACTTATAACCCTTACCACGGTACTTAAGACAGCGCATATTTGTGCAAGAGGAAGTGTATAAGTACAGGCCAGTTGATATTCTTTGTAAATTCGACACTAAACCACAATACAGGGAGGTGACTCACGCGATCTTTAGAATACTAATTTGTTTTTCGCACGCGAAAGATCTCTGTTGTCACGAACAACGAACTATCACTGCGATGGGCTGGCGTAAAAGTGTCATAATCCGCATCGACCTGTCAAGAGGTTTGTTTGCTTTGAGAGATTCTTAACGTCAAGAAAACAAACTCTTGACGGCATATTGCATCCAAGTTGCGTGTTTACACAAAAACCACCGTAAGATTATGATAGTTATTCAAACTAATAAAGAAAAAAAAATTTCTTTAAATCCGGTCCAACATCTCGTAATCAATAAGCTTATTATTTTCCTGAAATGGATTACATGATTGTATTTGCCCAGATCAGATCATGTTCACACCATTTGTTGGGTTTTCAGTCTGCAGTGTTTGAAATCTAAGACATCAAATATGAAAAGGTAAATGGTAATTATATGCAATATAGCCTCTTGCACAAAAGATGCATTTACCCATAATCACCGAATGCACTAGCGATGAGATTGCAATGTTCTGTAATAGCTTTCTAATTTTTGCCTGATACCCTACTTTCAATCCTCCTTTACCAGTAAAATTTTGGACTTTATTGTCGGTAATTGTACAACACTGAATGGGGGAAGGGGGTTTGAAGCAATCTGCACTTATAATTACAATTTAAATTTTATTTTTAAATACTTCTTTAAAAGCTGCCACAGCTGTGTGTGCATGGTTGTTATATCTGAACTAATTTTGTCATCAGTGTTAATTAACTTTATGAGCTGTCTTGCTGATCTTTCCCATCGCAATTTGTTGATTTACTCTTGTCTAAAACTCTTTGTCCATATTAATTAAGAGAAAAACAGATTGCTTGCAGTCTGCTTTAAAGTGAACACACTGTGAACACAGTAAACTGTTTGTGAACTGTACAGTTTTGAAACCTAATGTAGTCTGTGAGGCAACATGGGCTTAAGTTTAAGTTATTTTTGCTGCTGGAGACATCAGTGTATACTTATATACCTAATGGTACTGGCTGTCTTTAGTACAGTCACAGAATCTTGACAGGCCAGATATGTATTTGAATTTCATATATTCTTGGTAATTAAGTGTATTCTTGATTGCAAACAGTATAATTATAAATCCATGTAGCCAGTGGAGCACTTAGCATTTTTAATCTCATGATACTCTGTACAACAGTGGAGTTTCTCTGTGTATATAGTCATATATTGATCTATATAAATATATTAGTAACTTCCTAAAGAAACTGTGTGCTACAACAGTGGCAGAGTATAACAAGGTAATTTTGGCTTTGTCAACTGAGTTAATAATGTAAATTGGCCACCATGAAGAGTTTCAAAGCTGATGTTTGGAGGGTTAGTCCTTCATCAGAGTGAATGCCAAAGGGCTGATGCTCAAACTGTCAGCTTTTGAAACTCTTTACAGTGGCTTAAGTTTACATTTAATGTTTATCAACTCAATTGGCAAAACCAAAATTTCCTTCTGATTTAAATACATTGTATTAAAACTTAAACCCTTAGTACTTCTGATGTATTCTTAACAAAGATATTATTCCATATTGCTTTACTTCTGTTCAGTAGTAGATCACACTCAGATGATGTCAAAAATGTGATAGGAACAAAATGTGACACACAATTGTCTGTTGATCCTCCAATAGATCCTTAAAGTGAGAATTAATCGAAATGTGTGCATAATTCAGTCCATTATATCACATGTAAATCAAATTAAATCATATGATGTTCACTATCTACTTGACTTTCTCCCAAATCCAGATCCTAATCCTGATTCAAAAACTGTCGATACTCCAAGGAGCATATGGTTCTGAGAACTGCTTACTTAGGATTAGAGGCTCAAAATTTACTAGATTACTCTACTTGTTAATGATTGTTTTGTTTACATATATTTTTATTAATTTTAATTTCAGCTCTTCACCTTGTACTTCAACCAACAAAGCCAAATAATTCTTACTTTTCCCTGACGGGATCAACCTTCTTGTTGAACTGTACCATCACAGGGAAAAGCGTACATGTGTTTAATATATCATGGTGGCACGATGGAGAAAACCTATCTAGCAGTAAAACACAACAAATTGACAATGTCACGCTGCAGCTGCAGTTATCAAACACAAGAAAAAGCGATAATGGAATTTACTGGTGTGGTTCAAAATCTGACAAGAAATCCCTAAGAATAATTATCTCACTTTCTGTGGCAGGTAATACCTGATTTACAAATTTAGAGTACTCGTCCAACCTCGAATATTATAAAGTCCTCATCTCAAATAAACACCCACTCCAGGCCCTTAGGTTGGAAAAATCAATAAGGTTCCAGCTTTAAGTAAGCAGCCAGCTTAATCTCTCAGCCTCTACAGGCATGACATCATCAGTACCTTTCACCCCACACCTCTTAATTGCCCTCACTGTTCTGATCCATCTCACTTTGAGGTGAACTCGAAAGTGTCCTGAGCTTTGGAGAGTGTCCCAAGTGATTCACCAGCAGTGTAACTGACAATATTTATTATCGTTTTTTGGTGAAAAAAGAAAGCTTTTACAACACTAGCGAGTGAAAATTCCGACTACCATGGCCCTAGTACAAACCATAATATAAACTGAAAGCGCTGTCCAATAAAAAAGCGAGGAAAGGTCACGTGCATAAACAAATTTAAAGGAGTAACGCAACGGGTAACATAAAGGGAAAACTGAAAGATACTTATTAAGTTACTTGAACGTTGTAAATGTGGAACAGCACACTCACTTTCCACTTGTAACCCAATGCCACCTCTCTCCCTGGTCCATTAATTGCACCCCCCTTGCCCCCCCCCCCTAGCCTCCACCCTAAAGTTACTACTTGAAACCACTCATCCATTACCTCCTTCTTCAGTCACTGATTGTCTTTTGCCAGGTAAGGTTCTAGTTTTTTGCGACAATATCATGCCCAAATCTAACACTAAGCTTAGCTTGTGGAGAATAAAGGAAATGATTGTGAACTCAAAAAGCCCTTTATGGTTAAAAAAAATATTCCTTTTAAGTTTCAATGTAAATGTATCGAGAACAGTATGGAAAACTTCCATACTAATGTATTAGGGTGTAAATTAAGGGTTGAGATGTACCTGATGAAACAATGGTAACCTTTTTTTTCACTCCTTATTTTCTGACTAATTTTGCAATGTTGTATTTCCTTTCAGACCCACCAAGTCCACCACGTAATTTAGAATGGAATGCTATTGGTGCTCTAGATAGGGAAGTTCATGTGTACTGGGCAGCCTCTAGCTATACTGGTGGCTTACCAATTGACTATTCCATCAAACTGTGTCTAAATGACTCAGTAATAAATCCAACACCGCCCCCAGTACCAACCTGCAAATGGATTGATAAATGCCATCATGTACAGCCTGAACATGTAAATGTTTTCGATGACAAGAGACATTTTTCATGCATATTGAAGGGAGCTGAGTATGATTTTCCTGGTTGTGGGACTCCATGTAGTTATTCCATCTATGTTGTTGCCTCAAATGCTGTAGGAAGTGCATCCACTGAGATTTTCTTACCAATCCTCAGATTTTCTCAAGGTAATTTTTAACTTTCTTGATTCATGTTCACCTGTTGGTGTTTGGCAGATAATTTGGTTTTATCTCCTGAGTTGATAGTGTAAATTGGCCACTGTAAAGAGTTCCTGGAGCGGACATTTAAAGCATTAATGGCCCTGCTCAGAGCAGCAAATGTTGTTTGGGTTTCACTTTACGATACAGCCACATATACCATCAGAGCAACAAGTGTTGTTTGGGTTTCACTTTGCGATACAGCCACAAATACCATCATGGTATAAGTGGCTGTATCGTAAAGTGAAACCCAAACAACATTTGTTGCTCTGAGCCACTTATGGAAAAAGTCAGTGAAACCCCTGATAAAGGAATAATAATGATAGTAAATAATAATAATAATTGTGGTAATACCTTTACAAATGCTCTCTCATTATGTAAATACCATTGAAATACCAGGTGTCAGCTTTCACATGAAAACATGACATCTTCACACATGAAAATAACATGTCATCTTCACATGTGGAAATAACACTGTTATTATGGTGACATTATGAATTGTGAAATGGTTTGGTTTTTTATTGGTGTTTATAATATAAACAGAATATTACATGGCTGCTTGGATAATTACACTAAATTTCTCCTCTCCTGTTAAAAAAATATTTTACTTGTTTGCTTTGCTCACTCATGAAATATTTTTCAACACTGGAAAAGGAAATTTTGTATTTCCTTTATTTATTTGCCTGATGAACAGCCTGTTTCAGTTAAAGTTTCTTAACCACAGGAGTGGATAGCTCCATTGGTATTAATTATCACCCTTTTATAAACTCTGATTCTGTGACATATTTTGGGTGCAAATACACAGACAAACTTTTTGAATTACTGTCAGATGGACTGACATCCTATTCAGCCCAAAGAGGTACCAAAACAGTACCCTTGTTCCCTTCGGGCTATGCAAACTGTAAAAAGCATTGTTACTGTTAACTGTTAGCCATTGCAGCATGCAACAGTCTTTGAATGAGATATGTGTTTCAACACTTGTATATATTGCATTATTTCAGCTAGCACACACTCTACATCCATGGCTAAATCCTTTTATTCAGCACAGAATCCTTGAAAGCCTAATGATCCAACAACAGCAATTAAAACAAATTAACCCCTATGTTGCGAAAAACTTTCTCCATCAGGATTTACCTAAAGATTTAGAATGCAAAGGTGCTAATAATTACCCTTATGGTGACCAAAAACCATCTCTTTTTTAGTTTTTGGAAAACATTTGGTTTTCATTAATTGTTAGATCTTTTTTTGTCTTGTAAATAATATGGCATGTAATATGGTTGAAAATTAATAAATACAAATTCATTATAGACCTCTTTGTTTCTTATGATGTAACAGCAAGAATTTGAATTTCAAAGAATTTTAATATCAAAGAATGTGAATTTCAAAGAATTTGAATATTGAAGAATTTGAATATCAAACAAGTTGCTGTTGGAGCAAACAAAGTACATAGCAAGAAACAAAGCAGTATGGTAAATTTGCATTTATTAATTTTGACCCATATCACTTGCCATAGTAAATACAGCTGCTGTAGCTTACTCATATCAAAGTTTATGGTACAAAAAATACACCTATATTTTTATCAGTGAACTTAATCACCTTCATGATATATTTACACAGCTGTTTGACTGTTCAACACTTTTTCACTTCAGCAACACCTTGGCCGCCAGATAGATTCACAGTGGAACAACTTTCAGACAGGGAAAAAGAATTAAGAGTTTCTTGGAAAGCAAAACGTGGGTGGAATTACATGCAAGACATTGATAAGGAGTATACAATACTGTACGGTACAAGAGAAGACAAAGAGAATAAGGTATGTCTCTTGGACAAATGTAAAATGTAAAACATACGAATTAAGAAAATATCAGGGATACAGCAGAACCTCAGATTTAAGTGGCACAGCATTAAAAAGTCACCTTGTATTAAGTGGGTGGATGCCAAAGATCAGAATCTTTTCTCCCCCAATTAAATTCGATTTTCACCTCTATTCAGCAGTTCTGTTTGCATTGTCTTCCACCTGCATTGAACAGTCACTGAAGCGCAACCACTAAAAAAAACCAAGAGTTATCATTCAATTTAAATCGGATCCATGTTTCTCTTTTGAAATCAATGTTAGTAGTATTTTTGAAAGAGGATTTTTACATTAAGTGGTCAATTATGGCTATGAAATAGCGTTTCTCGGTTGTTTTTTTTAAATTACCCCTTTTCTGTGGAACCTGTATAATTAAGCAGTTGACCTTTATGAAGCCGTCACCCCGCTATTTCCTGTGTGTGATGGCTTGATACAGGTTTGACTGTGCTTGTGTTCTATTTTTTTTGTTTTTTGTTTTGTTTTTTATTTATTTATTTATTTATTTATTTATTTCTGGACATGGAGAATATATTTCCTTGCATTGTATTTTATTCTGTGCAACACCATGGTTTTAGTTTGAAAAAGTTGAGGCTATATTATCCAATATACTTTGTTGAGTACAAATAACACCCAAAATGAATACCAATATCTCGCAATAGTTGTACTCCAGAGAACCAGTTAAACATTCACCCGCATCGAAATAACAATTTGATGTGTTGGATAATAAAATCTCTTATTAAAAACGTTTTGTTGTGTAGCATCACTGATTATTTTTATTTATTGTTCGTATTTTGACTCGCCCTATGGGCTCCTTAAAATACAGCACAACTTTATAAAATTACTCAGTGATACTACACAACAAAAGTTTATATGTACCTCATATAACTACTCTCCCATGGATAGAATGCTAGTCCATTGCAAGGTTACCCCCCCTTGCTGAGTAATTTTACTTAGTGTCCCCTCCCCCTTGCTGAGTATTTTTACTTAGTGTTTGTATTTTGACTCACCCTACGTGCTCCTCAAAATTTAACCAGTTAAACATTCACCCACATTGAAATAACAATTTGGTGTGTTGGATAACAAATCTCTTATTAAAAACGTTTTGTTGTGTAGCATCGCTGATAATTTTTTCTTATTATTTGTATTTTTACTCGCCCTATGGGCTCCTTAAAATACAGCATATCTTGTAAAAATTACTCAGCAATACTACACAACAAAACGTTTAATAATTAAGATACATGTACCTCATCTAACTACTCCTCCATGGATGGAATGCCAGTCCATTGCAAGGTTCCCCTCCCCCTCCCCCCCTACCTCCAAGCATTTCATCAGGTTTTACTGGGTGGGGAGAGAGAGGCACTGTTAGAATTAAGTGACGTGCCCACGAGCACAGTGCATTGACCTGGCCTTCTTGGAGTCCATTGCTCTGACCATAAGGCCTCTTTTTCTCCCACTTTCAGTCTGAGCTTTGAGTCAAAATGGCATGAAAGGTGTTGATTGCAGATTTCCTTTTTGTTCAGGTCTTAAGTTATGCTAAAAACAGTTATTGGCTCAATGATAGCCAGTGACTGTTTTTTTAACTATACACTCAACTTTGCATTTGAATTTGATTTCTCTCTTGCATTCTTTTTTTTTTTTTTTTCAGACTACAGTTGTAATAAATAAAGAGTTCACAATATTAAGAGGATTGAAAGCATATACAGATTATTATGTGTACCTGAAAGTCAGATTTCTTAACCGTGACGAATCAGACGAGAATTCTGCATACAGTGACATACTAGGGCCAACTGTTATTAAAACATCACCAGGAGGTAGGTCTTTCAACACTAACATAGGTGTAGCGGCCGCCTTTACCGGTTAATAAAGGGACGCGAGGAAACTGCAGTGAAGCAACCACAAGTCTAACAAAATCAGGCTGGTCCGTTTATATAAGGCTTTTTAGACAATAATTTGATAAACAGGAACTATAGGTTACGTCAACGACAGTTCGATAGAAATCCAACCATACTGACCATCAAAGACTGTTAGCCGGGTTTCAACACAAAAACGCGAGCGTGTTCCTCCGTGAATATTCTAACTATATAGAAAGATTTTTGGTCGCGGTACTCTAGCGGTTCAGAGTCCACGTGCGAATCCAAAATTATCGTATGAAGCGATCACGTGACGTAACGAAACTAAAGTATGCATATTCTTCAAACTGTTCTGAATACAAGGAGAATTTGTTTAAAAATGAAGAACTCCTTTGGTCGGTATTCATCTCCTTTACTCGGCATTTAGGTGTAAGAAGAAATAAAGTGCTGGTTACTCCCAAGGGTAAAGCCTGAGTTCTAATTTTCACTTCCTCTTTGTTGTTGGTATATCGATAATCTCGTTATAAGTTAGTTCCGAGAATTTCCCGAAATGCCAACCACTGGAGATTTTTTCTTTGACTGGCACCAGCCTCCATAACCATCGTGACTCGACTCACTGCGTCGTCTTTCTCCATTGACTCTCTATATTTGGGAATGCATATCACATGGCTTATTACTGCCGTTTGATAGGTTGCGTAACAGGAGTTCCTCGCGCGCGCGAGTAACACGTGCACTAAATAAATTCGTGCAGGTCCCTCTCGATCGCGTGATCTGATCTCTATCTCTCGCGCCCAGATTCCCGGTTACACAGTCAGGCTTTATGTGTGAAGGGGGTAATTTTCTGAAAAAGGAAAAAGGCCGAGCTGATAATGTCCATACGGAGATTTCAGGCACAAAGGGTGAACGTTGACGAAAGGTTATTAAAATCTCTTTACGGTGGCCAATGCACAATTTTATCGTCTCAGTTGATAAATCCAAACCAAGGTTGATGTTTGATTGGTTGAGAGAGTGTTGCAAGCTTTCTTGGCCAATCAGAGAGCGAATTGAAGCAAAACAAATGCCATCCAGGATTACTCTCGGAACCGTCCCCCTGAATTGTAAATGCTCAAGCACAGCAGCTGATGGAGGCCTTAGAACCTCCTTTGTGAAACTGACTTGTATTATACACTCTCTAAATACATTTTTTTACTGATTGCAGATCCCGTCAATCCGCCTGTAGTGAAAAGGCATCATTCAGACATTTTCCCTAGCAATTCAGGCCTCAGAAATGTAACCGTAGAATGGAAGGTAAATACAATTTTTTTTCTTGAACATTACTGACGAAGTTCAGTTTGCTGTATGATCTTTTCCGGTCACAGTTCTGGTCTGCCCACAGTTAAAAAAAAATGCATCATAAATGTTTATTGCAAGCGGGTTCCAGTAAAAGAAATTGCAGAAACCCTCATCCATCAGTTGTGTTGCATGGCAAGCGCAGTCACGTGTTAGTGCTTGACCAACTAAGCTGCACATAGCTTAACAAGCGATCAATGAAAGCAAAAGGGAATACAGTCGAACCTAGATTATCCGGATTTCTCGATTATCCGGACTTATTCACAGGTACGAATTTTTCATGAATATTTATTAGTCATTATCAAGATCCGTAGCCATCGTTCTTTTTGAAACTACAGCATTGAAAAGTGAGGTAAGGGCGATGTTTTTCTTTAAGACAAATAACTATCTTACTTCAACATTTTAGGCCAATGTAAAAACATTTCTCTTTAATTTTGATTGTTCACGCACACGTGTAGAGTTAGTCATGTAGAAAGGGAAGATGTAGACCATATCTTTTTCAAAACGATTTGTAAATGTTTTGTTTTAGGATTAAATGTCACTTTCTCAATTTAACCAGTTTTTGTTCCTCGTCGATATTCATATTCTCGATTATCCGGACCCTCGAGTATCCGGACTATATTTCCTCTAGTCCCAACGAGTTCGGATAATCGAGGTTCGACTGTACTCCAAACACCCTTACCTCGTTCCCAGGTCCTATCTTTTCCACCTGCAAGGGTGAAGACACAATTATAACAGAGGAATCTTTCACCGTTCTTTTCAGTTGGCAGCCATTTCTTCATGGCGTGGTACTCCCGGTAAATACAAGGTTTTTTGTAGGCGCCACCGCTTTCGCAAGGGACAAACTCCAACTTTGGAGTACAGCACAGATGCCACACTAAACAAGACCACTCTACCAAAATTAAACTCTCGGACCAAATATAATGTGTTCCTGAAGATGTGTAACAAGGCAAACAAGTGTAGCAACATTGGTAAATCGTATATCGTCAATGAAGTGCAAGGTGGGTGGGGAGGGTTGGGGAAATATTTAATGTGTGAGACACCTATTGACCTGCATTAAGTCTGACATGGTAAAAGTAATATTTCAACTTCAAGTTGTGGTATTGTACAGTTTAAACGACACCCTTGAAAGTCTACTGTTCATATAATGTCTTCATGTACCATTTCTTTTGGCCTGTTTCATCTGTTTTTAATTTTTTAGTTTTGTCCTCATTTTGTACTTGTTTTCTAATCTTTTCATTTTGTATTGTTTCCTCATTTTTTCTGAATATTTGACCACTTTCATAAATGGCTGCCGGATTAATATTCTTTTGTTTAAATTTGAATTAGCCTTTCTGGCCTCGCTTGAGATAATGTATTCTTTTGAATTTTGTACTGGAGAACGAGGCCAGAAAGGCTAATTTAAATTTGAACAAAAGAATATTAATTCAGCAGCCATTTATCAAAGTGGTCTTTCCCATTATTTTTCACTGTTTTCCAGATTTTTTTCTGACCAATGGTCAGTACAAAGCAGTGCACTAGGAGACAAATTTTTTTTTTTTTTTTACAATGTGCGAATTTCAATTAAGTTACTTGAGTTTTATCTCTTTTCAACAACTTCTTTAACTCTGAGCCATTCTTCTCTGGTGTTCTCGTTTTACCTCACCCTCAAAACAGCGCTTCGTTTGCAGTTACTCGTTATTTAGGGTTTATAACTGCACTTACTATCGTCGTAGAAATTCATTACCATAGTGTTTCCAAGTGTACCGCTTTGTTTTGTTTTGTTTTCATTGTACAGACCATTAGTCCGACAACAACAAAAAAAATTCTTGAAGCACCTGCTTACATTGTAATCGCTTTGTTTAGAGAAGGACAAACCGACAAACTCTGACAAGAAAATGAGCACTGCGCAGATTGCCACTGTGTCGGTTTCAACGGGGATGGGACTCCTCGTGGGAGTTATTTGTACTGTGTACTTGTTAAGGTAAGCGAAATGTTTGTCATCATAGAATTACCACCCTTACGTGCCCTGGTTTACTGCGTTACTAAAGGCTCTTCAGTGTAACTAATAAGATCCCACGTTGCCATGTGTCTGTTCATAGAAGTTCTATGATCTATGACTGTACAGATCTACGGCAAACTGGAATCTATTCGTTTTATACGATAGCAAAACAAAATGTTGTTAATGGTGACGTCATCTATGCGTCTGTCCTTCAATACATCAATCAAAAAAATCAAAACACCAATCAAAATGCATGTATAATTCATGAATACAAGAGGAAGTTAAACAAGGAAGACTTTGTAGTAACTTCACCTGAGTTCCACGTCTTTGAACTTCCAGCGGACCAGCTAAAAGTATTGGAATGAAGAAGAAAACTGTGTGCTCTTGATGGATCGTTGAGCATTTATTTGGTAGAGAATCGAAGTTTCTGGAACAAGTGAGAAATTGTGGAATGTTTCTTTGTTTTGTCGATTGCTCTTTCGATCGCAGTTTCAAAAGTGAGGCCAGTCAAAACGTACTGCAATGTGAAGTTCTACACTTCGTGTGTCAATGTCTCTGTTTCCACTTTTCTCACGCTTTGTCCCGTCGAATTTGGCTAAAACTAGACATAAGCTCGAACACGCCGTTACAGTTGGCGCTATCGGAAAGAGGCCTTCAAGGGGTCAAGCGCTGATTTTAGCGCCAGACCCCCGGCAAATTTCTCCCCGACTTTTTTCAAATCTTTTCCCGCAGATGGACTATCGGCAAGGGGTCAAGCACTGGTATTGATGCCAGACCCCTAGCAAACTTCTCTCCGACTCGTCTCAAATCTTCCCCCATTGGTGGAAAAATGCTTGTCCTGCAGCGCTGATAACGAGGACCTCATCGTAGGCTCGCTTTATCATGAAATTTTCACTTAATGAATAAAATTGAAGCATTGCCGTCTGGTAGTGAGAGTATTTACAGTTTCCTTTCTAAAGAATACACTGGTCGATAACCATAGGAAACTGTATCAGTGTCCCTCGTCGATTTGTAAACTCCAAACTCCACGCTGTCTTTCAACTCAGGCTGTCTCAAAGAGTTCATGTGGGTATGCCAAATTATTCCCTTTGCTCCTTTCTTAATGCTGTATTTCTTGATTGTGCAGGAAATATCGACGTGGGGAACTAACACGGCATATATTGAACATATTACCCTTGAGGGAACGCATTACACTTGATGTAAGTATCTTCTATTTTCCCTATCCCTTATTCAGCTGCGTGCTTGTTTTTGACCTAGTCACGTGACATGTGGCCTCGACCTCAATTTCTATTCAAGTTTGCCGGATCAATTGGTGAAAATATATTCACTAAAGTAAGTGGTTTCTTTTTTCGATTTTGCAGCTTCCAACTCATTACGAATACCTGGAAGAAGCTAGCATCCCAACGGAAGAGGCCTATGAGGAATTGAGATAAAGAGCACTCTTCAATTGAGTGTCGCAAGAAATCTGGGATTGCGCTGGTTTTGTTTACAGCCGAAACCATAGCCATCCGAGCAACCAATCAGAACAAAGGTTGACATAAGCACTGGCCAATGAGATCTCAAAGTGAAAACAAACACACTGCTTGAAGTGCGGGAAAATGAGCGCGGGAAAACGCGAATCATGACCATGTCGCGAATGTGTCTAGTTCTGAATCTGATTGGTTGATAGGATGGCGGGAGTTTTCTGGACCAATCACAGAGCAAAGTTAAGTGAAACCAAATCAATCCGCCTGTAACATGCCAGCATCTGGCATTTCACCTTCAGTCTGACATTGACCAGATTATTTAGTCAGAAAATTAGGGTTAGAATTGATGCAACTGTATGTAAATGACAATTTAAGGTTAAATTAGAAAAAGAGGAAGTACATTCACGTAATAGATTATACGCATTTACTAATAATAGCTGGATGATATGTACCTTGAAACAATAACAACAATTAAGAGTTATTATCAGAATTAGAGCAAATGTTTGCTTACACTCCTACCAAATGAATTTCTTTAGTCCTGTGTTTTATTGTTAAATTTTACTTCTTGAAAATGTACCGGCATACACCGATTGTTAGAGGGTCCTATTGGTTTTACAAGGGCATAAAAGCCGCAAGCGTGTTTTAATGATTTTACGTGTGTCTCAAAGCTGATGTGCACAAAAAGACAGGAAAATATTTCTGACGACGAACCCGGGAAATTTTTCTCAACAAAGGAAAGTGTTTATCCGAAATAAATATGAGACCCAATTGTCATATGACTTACCAAAATATAGTTAAACTGAATGAGAGAATTGCTACACTGGATCATATTTTTGGGTATGGAAGGCCAAAATGGTTAATGTGGAACTTCAGAATGGCAGATCTCAAAAGAAGGAAATAATTTGTCCGAATGAATTTGAAATTGTTTGCGTTATTTAAGGAAACTTGTGCTATTTATGGGTGAGATTTGTACAGCTATATCCCGGGTGTCAAAGGCACAGCTACCCACCACAATTTCTATTTATTAGTCCCAGCATGTCGTGTAAATATTTTATACCAGTATTACATTCTTTAGTCTTATTTAATACAACTTAATTGAATTATGACTTTTTGTATTTGCAATTCTGTACTTCCCTAAATCGACTTTTTTCACATAAGCTTTATTATGTTAGAGTGTGTCTAATAAATATCTTTATTTTCGTAAATAATTGCGTCACGACTCATTTTTTTTTTTGTGTGTGTGTGTGTGTGAGATCGTGTTTTTATGATTTATTAAGGTTAATGGCGTGGAGATCGGGAGATTTTGAGATAATCGACAAATGTTCTGAATTTTAACCAGCACAACCCTTTATTCCGTCATATCAATATGCATATTCTCCAAACAGTTCTAGATACATTCCCTATGGTTTTGGCGAGGAGAATTTGGTTTACAATTTTTGAAGGGCGTCTCTAAGGGATGATCATTTTATTATTATTATTATTATTATTATTATTATTATTATTATTATTACTATTATTATTATTATTATTATTCTCCTGATCTTACAGCATGATTCGGCCCTGATACTGTAAGCAGGAATTAGGTGCTCGTCCCTATAACCTGTTGAAGAGCAAACCGCAAGAGACCACAGGCATTAGTCTTTGGTACTTTACTTACGCTTTACACCTTTCGTGGTTCCTGCATAATTGTGATATTAGCCTGCCAAAGCGTGAATAGCGAATTATAACATCTCAAACTGAATGACTCCCAAAGTGTTTTTTTGCACCACAACAGCCTGATAAATTTCCATCGCGTGAACATCTTTTGATTTCAATGTACCATGTATATAAAACTAAATTATGACAAGACAAAGATGCGAAAATAAATAACTTAAGACAATTAAAAAATGAAACACACATACACACTGTTTATAAAGATTGAAAGTCCCCATTTGTGACATGAATTAAGGAAAAAGACAATTTCCATTGACCCTGCTTAAATTTCTGGGAAGTAAGAGTGGCTAGGGTAGGAATAAACAGAACTTGAATAGGAGCTTCAGGAAGTTTCTATTCAAGAAAATTGCCGTCTGTTGTTTCTCACGAGATATCTCAATTTGAGACAAAACTCCGTTTTTATACTGAACCGTTAAGGCAGCATTCCCTTTGCGATCAGTGTGTGATCAACTTTATTGGTACTTTACTGCAAATCTGTTTTCCTCCCTAAGTGTTGCGCCTGATAGTGATGGGGAGGTCTGCCTGTCTTAATGATCTTGGAGGTTATACCAGCGGTGACTTTGGTCACTGTTAGGTTCAACCATGTTGGGCAAGTTCTAAGTGAGAGGCCTGACTAATTGCAACACCTGGCCCTCCAGATTGGGGGTTTGGCGAAGGGCTAATATCCATTCCCCGTAAAAAAAATATTATTACTGAAACCGGGAATACTTTTCAAAGAATGCAAGGGCAGAAAGGGCAGAATGAAGAGACTGACCAGGTACCCCACGACAGTGATATGTTGTTTACGGACTATCAGCGCCGGATGACATTGGAGGGTGAAAGCTCTACAGAAGAAGCCCCCCGATCGACAGAGTCACTTCTGAAACCCAAGAAATTTGTTACCGCAGGAAACTGGAATGTACAAACGATGTATGCTGTTGGAAAAGCTGCACAGATTGCGCACGTGATGAGAGAATACAACGTAGACATCCTGGGCATCAGCGAATGCAGATGAACGAATTCGGGTAAGCTAATGTTAACTACAGCAGAGACTGTTATCTACTCAGGGAGAGAAGATGGTATATACCGAAGTGGTGTGGCAATTATGATGTCAAAACAAGCAGAATCAACCTTGCTGGAGTAGAAGCCTGTAAACGATCGCATTATTGTGGCACGATTTTATTGAAAATTCATCAAACTTACCATTATCCACGTATATGCACCTACATTTGACGCAGAAGACGAAGACAAGGAGCAGTTTTACGAACAACTACAAAGTATTGTTGAGAAAGTAGCTAAACACGATCTCCTGCTGGTAACCGGAGACATGAACGCAAAAGTCGGATCATGCAACAGAAATAGGGAAATAATTATGGGAAAAGAAGGAACAGGAGCGATAAACAACAATGGTAAAAGGCTCACCAACTTCTGCGAGATGAACAGCCTTATTATCACAGGAACACTATTTCCCCACGAAAAAATCCACAAAAACACCTGGACGTCCCCTGATGGAAGAACACAGAACCAGATCGATCATGTACTAGTAAACCAGCAGTTTAGAAGATCAGTTCAGGACACAAGAGTCTTGAGAGGCGCAGACGTCGGATCAGATCACCAACTGGTTAGAACCAAGGTAAAGCTCAAGCTAAAGAAAATCACCAAGCCTACCAGCACAAGGACTAAGTATGACACTGGTAAACTACAGAACGAGTCAATTAGGAAAGCATTTTCAATAGAACTTCGCAACCAGTTTTCAGTCCTCGAGTCAATTGATGACAATGAAGAGGAACAGGAAGAGGAACATGAACATGATATCGATACTAAGTAGTCCCACTTCGACAAAGCTTATAACAACACGGCAGAAAAATACTAGGTAAGAAAATTGAAAGAAAAACAGCAAACCATGGATCAGTCAAGCCTCTTGGTCAACGATTGAAGAGAGAAAACACCTGAAGATCCAAATGGAAAACGCAAAATCAAAGAGGATCCAAAATCAACTCCGGGCAAAATATAAGATTAAAGACAAACAAGTTAAGAAGAACCTCAAAGAAGACAAACGGAAATGGCTCAACGACCAAATGGACGATGCACAAAAAGCGGCGGACATGGGTAACATGAAAACCTTATACGAGATAACTAAATCTATCTGCAACGAGAAGCCACGCAACTCCACCGCCATTAACAACAAAGAAGGGAAAACAATTACCGAAGACTCAGCCAGATTAACCCGCTGGAAAGAATACTTTGAAGAGATCCTGAACCGCGAAGCCCAAACAAATCCATTGATGATTGACGCAGACATCCTAGAGATAGAAGAAATCAATGCAGAGCCCATCAGCAAAGACGAAGTTAGGCAAGGAATTAGATCACTAAAGAACGGAAAAGCAGGCGGCGTCGACAACAAAGTAGCAGAGCTTCTCATAGCAGACCTGGAAATATCCAACCAAAAGCTACATGGAAAAACTCAATTAATATGGGAAGAAGAACGAGCCCCCATAGAATGGTTAAAAGGGTTAATCATCAAGCTACCCAAGAAAGGAAACCTAGGGGACTGCACCAACTGGCGAGGTATAACCTTACTCATTATTGCGAGCAAAGTCCTAGGCAAGATTCTCATGGAGCGCATGAACCAAGGAATAGATGCGAACTGAACTACGTCAAGAACAAGCTGGATTTCGCCAGGGACGAAGTACCACTGAACAGATATTCATACTACGCAACATTATCGAACAGACACGTACATGAATGGCAGGATTCCCTGATCCTGAACTTCATCGACTTCGAGAAAGCATTTGATTCGTTACATAGGAACAGCCTTTGGGATATTATGAAGCTATATGGAATACCGAGTAAACTCATCAGAATAATCCAACTCCTTTACCAAGATTCCAAATCTGCAGTCCTTGATGGAGGTCAAGCATCCGAATGGTTCCAAGTAAAAACTGGCGTCAAGCAAGGTTGTGCAATATCAGGCTTCTTAATCCTCCTCGCCATCGACTGGATAATGCAAGAGACAACCCATCTAGCAAAGACAGGCATCTGATGGAAATTCACAAGTCAGCTAGAAGACCTAGACTACGCGGATGATATCGCTCTGATATCAACCAATCACGGACAGATGCAAAAGAAGACAGATAAGCTAACAGAGGCAGCCCAGAGAGTGGGACTCAACAATAGCAAATCGAAAACACGCATAATGAAAATTAATTGCAAGAACAACAACTCGATCAAATTCCAAAACGGTCAAGACATCCAGGAAACAAACGACTTCACTTATCTTGGAGCATGTGTAAGTACGGATGGGGGAGCATATAAGAACATAGAAAGCAGACCTTGTAAGGCCAAGACAGCATTCAGGAAGTTGAGAAAAGTGTGGAGCTCCAAACAATATAGTAAGAAGACCAAGATTAAGCTATTCAACACCCCCGTGAAACCGGTCCTTTAGTATGGAAGTGAAACATGGAAGACAAATGCTAAAGATTACGAGAAACTTGATTCCTTTCAGTACCAGTGCCTGAAGAGAATTCAAGGTATATTTTGGCCGTACATCATTTCAAAGGACGAATTACCAAAAGAAACCGGATCCGCGCCGATGAGCATAGAAGTCAGCGAAAAGAGGTGGAAGTTTCTTGGACATGTCTTGAGGATGCCGCAAGACCACCACTGCGTAATAGCCCTCACATAGTCACCAGACGGTAAGAGGAGGTGGGCAGGCCCAAAACAACTCGGAGGCGATCGATTGAAAAGGAAAGAAGTGAGGCAGGTTGGAAGTCGTGGGAAGAAGCGAGGATTATTGCAAGAGACCGGGACCGTTGGAAGAGAAGTATCAAGGCCTTATGCGCAACAGAGCACGAAGAAGACTGATGATGATGATGGTGCAAATCTGTTTAAATAAAATTTTCTTGCCTCTATGCATCTCCCCGTTAGGGACAGAGAGCATCGCGTATGGTCTTAGGCAATAAAGACCCTGTTATCGCCTGTTGAGTTGGTGCGTATTAAAAAGATAATACGATGCTTTGTTGGCGGCAAATGAAGATTGAAAAAACTGATCAAATATGATTGTGCTCTCTTGAAAGGTTAATGAAGAGATGCTTTTGACCTTCTAGGAGAAAAGTTTTTTTAATTTTTTTTTTCTCATGCCAAACTAAGCATTGCTACAGTTTTCAAGAAAATGTTTTGCAAAGTATTAAAACACGTTAAAGTTCTATAATTATTACATATTTCCAGCTGACTTCCTTAGCCCGTAAAAATGTGAATAGCCAATAGAGGCATGTTAAATGACTCCCTCTGTGTTTTTTTACGCCTCGTTCTCAAATTTTAATCGCTAAACATCTCTTGATTTCAGTTTTTTATCTGTCTGCGTTTAAAAACTAGATTATGAATAGAGACAGATGTGAAAATAAATGAATAACAATGATTGAATAAGAAAACAAGCGAGTGTACACTCTTAATAAACAATTCCTTATTTTTGTCGTGAATTAAGGAAAAATACTCCATTAACCCTGCTTAAATTTTAGGGAAGTAGGTGTAGTTACTGTGGGAATAAACATTGCGATGTTATTTTCTGTCACTTCAGGAGGTTTTTGTTCAAGAAAGTTGCTGTCTGTTATTTCTCACAAGATATCTCATATGAGATAAACTCTATTTTTATCCCTAACAACATTTCTTAGCAACCAGAGCACTTATCAATTTTCCTTTGCATGATTATTATTTCCTTAAGTGCAAAAACATGAATTAACAATCCAATTTAGGTGGAGGAGAAAGAGACAGGCAAGCTATGGGTTATGGGTCAATACTCTTTAATTATGTCAAACTGGGTAAAAAAGCTGTTTGCGAATATTTTTTCATTGAGAATATCGTGAGCCTTAAGCAACATACAATCTAAAACCCTTCTTTGAATGTGATAATACTTTTGTTTTGAATAAAGAGATACCTTGGAGCTATTAACTGCGGCATATCTTTTCTTTTCGAATCTTGTTAGGCAGTGGAGAGGCCATCTTGCTATGTGCACGATCTTGAGATATCTAACTAGACCAATCACGAATTAAGCTGCATCCTGGAACAAAAAAATGTCATTAGAGATTGAAATCGTAACATTAAGGAGGAGGATGTGTTGATTTTCACTCGGACAGCAGCATTCGTCCTCGACAGTTGGCCGCAGAGACTAGCTGGTACTTGATTGATGTTGACCACGATCTATATTTGACTTCCACTCTTTGTAAGTAAATCCTAAGCAAATGTACGCAGCAATAATAACAATGATGATTTTGTTCATTTACTTATTTATTCATTTCTGACGATGTGATGTGATGTAATGTGATGTGATGTGATGTGAGATTCGGCGAGATGAATCTCGGTATTTACACCCTAACAATCTAATTGAAGTTTCTTGAAGAAAGAAAGGAAGGAGGAACATTTCTGGTACACTAAGTTGGAAGTAAATAAGTTTATATTGCGTTTATTAAAGTCATCTAGTGGTCTCTAGGATTAACGACATGCTAACGTACCATAATGTAAACATTCATACCGACGTGTGTATTTTTAACTTTAAAATAGGCTTTTTTCAACAGCTAACCGAAAATGGGTTTTATTTCGGATTTTGGCATGGTATTGTGAAGCACTAAGGGTTGAACAAAACCAGGTGCTGCTCGATTTCTCTTATCGTGGCTGAACTGATAAATTTCTTGCGCATGCTGTCTCGAAATCGCCTTCGCGCTTTTTTACTTATTTTTGAGACCTATCCTAGCTAAAATAAGCTTGATTTAATTCTTTGTCCAAGTTCAAACGTCATGATATGCTAACAAAAGCTAACAAACACCTAACAATGGATGCACCTGACATTATAACCAATGTGCACTTATTGATAAGCTTAGCAACAACGGAAGTGAGGTTATCGCAGCCGGCAACTTACCAGTCTCGGACTTTTTCTGTACCATTTAGGCGCTTTTGGAGCGCCTTCTCTAGGACCTCTTTCTCCTTTCTGTCTCGTTCATACAACTCTATCCATTCCTCGTCCGCTAGCGAATCGTCGCCATATGCCACGTGCGTGCCTTCCTCATCGCTGGCCGTAGAACTCGAGTTTGGTGAACCATCAACTTCCAATTCGTAACCTTTCATTTCTGAGACTTCAGAATCTGAACTAGAGGTCGGAATGAAATCGTACGAAGCCATTTCTTGATCAACGTGTGCGCAGAAAACAAATTTCAACCGAATAAAATGGTTTTCAACGGCGCACAAAGAACACTACGCGTCTCCAGCTCGCGTCTTCTCTGTTGTCCGGGTTTACGTCACTAGTCCCAGTCTCCCTTTTACTCGGTCGTGGGAAGAAAAAACCAGACTTAAAAAATTCATAAAAAATTCCAGATTTGACCAAAAACACAAATTTTTGAGCCATTTTGCTAAGCAAAAAAAAAAATTGGGGTTTATGGGCACTTTAAGTATTTAGGTATGCCGTTGCATGAGGCAAGGAGCGCTGTCAATCACAGAATTTAAGCCAATCAAATGAGGTTAGAGGATAGAAATCCCCATCTTGAATGAAAACAGAACAGCTTTACGGGTCCCTTAAGTTACCGGGAATTTCGAGGAACGGGGCGCTGGTCCTTCTCGCCTTTATTTCCATCGTGTTAACATCCGAACACAGATTTCCGGTGCTGTAGAAGAATTTTCCCGCCCCCTTCCCGTGCCCCGGCCCTCTTTTCAGGCTTTCTTTGCCTTTTTATACGTACTTGGATCTTTGCCGATATTTAACCCCACCTTTGCTTTAGAGATTGCGTGATGTTTATTATATTAATGGTAGTATCACATGTGCGTCTGTTTTCCAATAGACAT